GCAGTCCACTCACCATCGCCCCAACAGGATGAACCGCCCGGCAGTGATTCCAAGGAGCCCGAAGCGAACATCCTGGAGCAGCGCAGGCCGGCCCGGAGGCTTAAACCCCGGGAGCCCAGGTGCCAAACCCCGCACAGCAGAAAAGACATGACAGCCGGTGCCCAGTTCCTTCTGCAGCCATCCGGATCAGCGCCCGGGCTCGCAGGCGAAGGGTGGGAGTGCGCAGCGCACTTTCCTGGCTTGGCGCTGATCCGGACGGCTGCAGAAGTAACTGGGCACCGGCTGTCATGTCTTTTCTGCTGTGCAGGGTTCGGCACCTGGGCTTTAAGCCTCTGGGCCAGCCCGTGCTGCTCCAGGATGTTCGCTTCGGGCTCCTTGGAATTGCTACCGGGCGGTTCTTCCCGTTGGGGCGATGGTGAGTGGACTGCGGGAGCCACGGCGGACTCCTTCCCCACGAGGTATTGCTCTGCATTTCACCACCTCTTCCAGGCTCGCAGCCACCCACCATCGCCCCAACGGGAAGAACCGCCCAGCAGCGATTCCAAGGAGCCCGAAGCGAACATCCTGGAGCAGCACGGGCTGGCCCAGAGGCTTAAAGCCCAGGTGCCGAACCCCGCACAGCAGAAAAGACATGACAGCCGGTGCCCAGTTCCTTCTGCAGCCGTCCGGATCGGCGCCAAGCCAGGAAAGTGCGCTGCGCACTCCCACCCTTCGCCTGCGAGCCCGGGCGCTGATTCAGATGGCTGCAGAAGGAACTGGGCACCGGCTGTCATGTCTTTTCTGCTGTGCGGGGTTTGGCACCTGGGCTCCCGGGGTTTAAGCTTCCGGGCCGGCCTGCGCTGCTCCAGGATGTTCGATTCCTTGGAATCGCTGCTGGGCGGTTCTTCCCGTTGGGGCGATGGTGGGTGTCAGCGATCGGCGTCGATCGCTGCGCACTCCCACCCTTCGCCTGCGAGCCCAGGCGCCGATCCGCTTGGACTGCGGGAGCCACGGCGGTGCTGGCCGGGCTGGGTCTGGTGCGGTGGGCGGAGATGAAGGAGCAGCCTCGGCGGTAGCAGCAGCAGCAATTACAACGGGAAAAGCTGTGGGGAAAGGAGGACAAGGAAGATCTGGCAAGGCGGTGCGGCACTTCATGGCTCCTCCGGTGAGCGGATTGCGAGAGCTGCGCGACTGGGGCGGAGACATGCGAAGTCGCATGGGGCTTCTCATAATGGAGACGCAGAGCCAGGTGTGCAAGGCGCTGGCCCAGGTCGACCGCGGCGCCGCTTTCACCGTGGACCTCCTTGGAATCGCCTTGGAATGCTGGAACCAGCTGGTTGCTGAGCGGAGCTTTCCCCAGGCATCTAGGGGGATATTACCGACGCTCTGACTTCCCCAGACCGGTGGGGCTCGCCATCAGTGGGGATCAGCTGGGGAAGTCGGAGCGTGGGTAATATCCCCCTAGATGCCTGGGAGAAGCTCCGCTCAGCAACCAGCTGGTTCCAGCATTCAGCAGCATGCAGCCTTGACTAGATCGGCACAGCTTCCTGTCAATGTTGTCGGCGCTTCCGTAGCGTCATCAGTCAGTGCCAGCAATTCAGATTCATGAAGCTGTGCGGATCTCGACAAGGCTGCATGGGTGAAGGAAAAAAACCTGGTACAAAATAGCCCTCTTGCCACTACACATAGCGTAGCCCATTACCTTTCTCTACAGTACAGCAACAATACATACAGTACAGCAACAGTACATACAGTATAGTATACAAATATAACAGTCAAGACCCCATCATGGCTCCACCAGCAAGAAGAAAGAAATATGAAGCCAGTTTTAAACTTAAAGTTGTAAACTTTGCCATGGAACATAATAACTGTGCTGCTGCAAGACAATATGGAGTAACAGAAAAGATGGTTCGGGACTGGAAAGCAAATGTAAAAGCATTAAAGAGTATGCCAAGGGGTAAGTGTGCATTAAGAAGAGGCACCCCACATTGGCCAGAACTCGAAAAACATGTAGCAGACATGGTGAATGAGCATCGCCAAAACGGTTATGTAGTTACACGAAATAAAATACGTTTGTTTGCACTTCAATGGGCCAAATCTAACCCAGATCACAGCAACAGATTTAAGGCCACTGTATCCTGGTGTACTAGATTCTTGGAAAGGCATAATTTGGTTCTGAGGCAAAAGACAAAAATTGCACAAAAATTACCTGCAGATCTTGATGCCAAAGTAAATAGTTTCCATCGATATGTAATAAAACAGCGCAAGAAACATGGCTATGCGTTAAGTAGTATCGGAAATATGGATGAAACTCCAATGAATTTTGATATGATTGGAAATAAAACTGTCCATCCAAAAGGTGAAAAAACAATTTTAATTAAAACAACAGGACATGAGAAGTCCAGTTTTACAGTGGTACTAGCATGCACAGCTGATGGCTCCAAACTGAGACCAATGATTATTTTTAAAAGAAAAACAATGCCGAAACTAAAGTTCCCTGTTGGTTGTTTTGTACATGTGAATGAAAAAGGCTGGATGGATGAAGAAGGGGTAAAGCTATGGCTTGATAATATATGGAGCAGGCGACCAGGTGGACTTATTCAAAAACGTAGTCTACTGGTGTGGGATATGTTCAGGGCTCATTTAACTCCCAGCACCAAGCAAAGGCTTGCAAGAATAAACACAGATGCGGCAGTTATTCCTGCAGGATTGACATCGTTGGTACAGCCACTGGATGTGTGCCTAAACAAGCCATTTAAAGATCGCATTCGAGAACAGTGGAATGAGTGGATGGTTAGCGGTGAAAAGTCATTCACAAAAGGAGGAAACATGCGTGCTCCACAGTTGGATGTTTTGTGCAAGTTTGTCATAAAAGCCTGGAATGATATTGATGCAGAAACAGTAATCAAGTCTTTCAAGAAGTGTGGCATATCAAATTCATTAGATGGTATGGAGGACGACTACTTGTGGCAAGATGAAGAGGAAGCCGAAGCTGAGACCACACCATCTGATACGGAATTAGATCCATATGATGACTGCCTTACAAATGTATCACAAGATGTCCTTGATGTACTTATGATATCAGATGACGAACAGGAGGATTTTGAAGGCTTTTAAAGGGAAACTGTCACGCCAGCAAAACCTGTAAAAATAGCTTGCAGTTATGATGGGCGTTACTGACTCGCCAGGGACTTGCCCGGCACTGGCTCTCTATTGTTTGTTATCTTCCTCCTATCATCATCAGTTCCAGTTTGGTTGACAGCTTAGAAAACAAACAGCATGGCAGCTCCCATGGGTTTATTGTCTTATCCTTCCTTTCAGCTTTAGAGTGAATTAGGAAAAGTTTAATCCAATTGCACTGTTTTATGTTGACATGTTTGATGACAAACAGCCTTATGTTTATAAGTGACAGTTTTCCTGCTAAGTACCTGCGTGTCATAAGCATTTGAATTAAAATTACCATATTGAAATCAAATCTGATGTTTTTTAATTTTTATTTGGTGTGCGTTGGAAGAGGGGTAGTCTTATACGGCGAGTATAGCCCAAACCCTATATTTTAACAGGAAAAGTAGGGGGTCGTCTTATACGCCCAGTCGTCTTATACGCCGGAAAATACGGTATATATGTGTCATTAAGCTCAAGGCAGATGCCATCAAAGCTTTCTGCTGTATACTCTTATTGAATGTTGATTGTCACAGACCTGCGTCGGTAGCCAAGAGGCGCTATCACCTTTCAATCGTGGCAACAGGAAGCAATGTTGAGGTAGATGGGGTCTGAAACTAAGAAATCCAGTTTGAATTTGAAGGCAGAAGGCTTTCTTCTCTCTTCTGCAGGTGGTGTCAGGAGGACGTCTGCCTCGTGGACAGAGAAGAGAAGGCTGGTTCTTACAATTCTACAGCAGCTTCCCTGGATAAATCTTTGGTGTATGATGGGTATCCTTCTCTGAGAGGAAAACTGTAGCAAGTATCAGCTGATCACTAATAAAACGAAGGACAGGAATACAAAATTAAATCCATATTATTTAACAGTAACGATAATACCTTTGGCTTTCCACAGACTTTAGGTAATGCTGTATATTCAAAGTGTACTGGCAGATGCTAAGTATTATGGCATTCAATTCTCATTTTTACCATTTGACTACCTGTAGTGATCTCTGGCAACTTCTATTCTCTCAATTAAAAGTGATTCTTAATATACTACTCCCATCTATATAAATGGGTGTGAAATTAAAATTGTTTTCATAATTTGTCCAATAATGTCATGATGGACATAACACTGTAGATATCTGACACCTGTGATAAATGTCCTTGAAATATTGAATATGGATGTTTAAAAAAATTTCTTTCTCTTTTAGATTATAAATATCCTTTCGTGATTCAGAACAATGTTTTCTTTTTGTGTAATTCTTCCATTCTGATTTCTTTTTTAAAAAGAGTTAAACTTTCTTTTTAAAAAATTATTTTAACAATTAAAAAATTCTTTTAAGAATTACACAGAACCTTTTCTAAAGTTTTGTTTATGCATATAGATTTAAAAGAAAAGAATGTCTATGCCTTTGCATACTTTGAATAAAGAAATATCTGGCTTGCTGTAATTATTTTCTTAATAATTAACAAAATATATTAAATCTGGTATTCCCTGTTTGACCTCTTTTCAGAACTCACAAGTTTGCACTTGTGTATTATGAAATTGATTGAACATAACTTGGGCTAAACAACTAAACCCAAATAAATGAAGACAGGTGGATTATTGTTGGAGCTCAAGCTTATTTTCTACCAGTGTAGTTTGTAATTAATGGTCGATTTTCTCTTGATGCCATTTGGGGTCCTGGGACCAGAATATGTGGGACAATGAAGTCAAGAGGTGGGCTACATAGAAGCAAGGACTACCTACATAATTTAGTGTTCTGCCTTTGCTAAGAGCTACCCCAACCAACTTTGCTGGGAATCCAGTGTACATTGTTTCACTTTTTGCATGCAAATAAATTTAGCACGTTGGATCTTCAAAATGCTTTGGCTGTTTTATGTGAGAAAGGTTTGGGCCACTACATTGGAGACAGCTCTGAGGGCTGCCAAAAGGGAGATCTGCAAATGGCTGGCCCATTCTTGCTCCAGAGCAATCTCAGTTAGGGAGTTAAGGCAGCAAACATGGCTACCCTCTAAATAGCAGGTTCCACAAGAGCTTTCCGGGAAGAGACCTCGCAGGTAACTGATGTAGGAAATTGAAACTGCAAGCAGCCTTTTCACCAGAACCAGGGACTCTTGCTCAGAAGCAATTCGGCTTGGAAAGAGGGCCGTTTCCTGCGTCAGACAAAAATGAGTTGCATGTCTGTTAAGAAAGCAAAATCAAAGGCAAATCCCCAATTTTCTTTCCTAACCATTTTGTTCATCTGGAGTTTCATACCTTCAAGGTTTTATGCTTCTGGCCGATGTGCGTGATTTGGGCTGTAGCCATATTAATTTGAAAAGCTGGCTTTTGGGTCACAACCTAAAGGAAGACGAGACAGTTCTATTTGATATAATTTTTGCATTCAAACAATGTGCATCCAGCTTGTGCTTATCCTTTGATCTGATCATCTGTGATGAGCACAAATTGCCATCAGCAGCGCCCTCCTGACTAGGAGTTTCTTTCATCCCCAGATTCTGCTGAATTTTTCTCTTTTCAAACTATGCATTTTATGCATTGCTGTTTTTTATGTATTTTTTTGCCTTTAAGTCTTTTTTTTTTTTAACCTTTAAAATTTGTGTTTTAAAACATTTAATACTGGATAAACTGCAACAGAAGACAATAAAAAAGGACACTGTAGCTTGAATATAAAACATGAGTCAATAAGCAAAATGTTGCAATTGTCAGAACATCCAAAATGCACTGTTTCAGTTTTGAGGGGGTTGTTTGTTTTTATTATTGGTTTAAAGGTTTGTTTCAAAACATCTAAAGAGCAAAATGAAGACAAAGACAAGACATTATGGGTGAAAATAAATGTAATTGAATATAATTTGACATGTTTTCAATTTGATTTTTAAATCAATGCATGGATGCCCTGATTTGTTTTTAAATCAATGCCACAGGCAAGTGAAGAGGAAAAAAAAACCTTTTTAGGAATAATTTAAGGGCAGGCAACAGAAGAGAAAAAGCTCTTCTTCATAATAATTTAAGGAATAACCAGTGGAAGAGAAAATATACTTTATAGCAATAATTTAAGCAATAGGGAGCTGAAGAACGAAAGGCTCTCTTTAACAATAATTTAAATGGTAGAGAGCTCCTTTGAATATCCATTTATTACAAAGATGGGAAAAATAAGAGTAACTTTTCAAAAAGCTGTGAGGGGATTTTGGCGGGAAGAAGGAGGCCATCTTGGTCTGCCATCATTTCCCCTCAGGTGCCTCATTCCCCCCCTCAAGCCCCGCCTGGGCAGCTCTCTTCTCAGTCGTTCTTTTAACTTTTTATTCCTTTTTCTTTTATTTCTTGCTATTTATTGCATCCCTCATTCGCCCTTGGGCTCGGGGCAGCCTATAAACCTCCCAACAGAAAGACTAAAATAGCTAAAATAATATTTCTTCTTGTAGGGAGTTGGGTAGTGACTGGGCTGCCTGCTTTTCTCTTTCTTTGGAACATCAAAGCTCTTTTCATTTTATTTGGGAGGTAAAAAGTGGCCCAATTGGTAAAATTCTGTTTTGTTTCGTTTTTTTTCCTCTCACTCTGCCGTCCCCACTTCTGTTTAGTTAAACCTCAGACGAAGCTCTCTTTTCAGCTGAAGGAAGATAAACATTTGGGCAGGAAAAGACAACATGCTCAATTTTTTTAGTGAATGAAGCACACAAAATATTTTCTTCTTCTTTCAGATCCTACCCCGCTTTTGTATTTGTGGCCTGTTATTATAAAAAGCTTAATAATGTAAGGAATAGCCAATTGAAGAGAAAATATACTTTACATAATAATAATTTAATAGAGAACTGAAGAACAAAGGAATCTTTTTAAACATTAATTTAAGGGGCAGGCAATGGTAGATAAATATCTCCCTAGATAAATATCTAGGGAGCTGAAGAACGAAAGGCTCTCTTTAACAATAATTTAAATGGTAGAGAGCTCCTTTGAATATCCATTTATTACAAACATGGGAAAAATAAGAGTAACTTTTCAAAAAGCTCTGAGGGGATTTTGGCGGGAACAGGGAGGCCATTTTGATCCTCCCTTCATTTTCCCCTCAGGCACCTCATTCCTCTCTCAGCCCTGCCTGGTCAGCTCTTCTCTCTGGTGCCTTTTTAGCTCTTTTATTCCTTTTTCTTTTATTCCTTGCTACTTATTGCCTCTCCCATTCTCCCCTGGGTTCAGAGCAGCCTATGAATCTCCCAACAGAAAGATTAAAATAGCTAAAATAAAATTTCTTCCTATAGAGAGTTGTGTACTGACTGGGCTGCCTGCTTTTCCCCTTTCTTTGGAGCATCAAAGCTCTTTTCATTTTATTTGGGAGGCAAAAAGTGGCCCAATTGTTAAAATTCTGTTTTGTTTTTTCCTCTCTTTCTCTTACTCTGCCATCCCCACTTCTTTGTGGGTCAAAATAACATTTCTTCCTGTAGGGTACCGACTAGGCAGGCAGCTTTTCTCTTTCTTTTGAACATCAAAGCTCTTTTCATTTTATTTGGGAGGTGAAAGGTGGCCCAATTTGTAAAATTCTGGGTTTTTTTTTCCTCCTTCCTCATTCTGACATCCTTGATTCTCTCTGTCATGTGAGACCAGCTCAGGGGAAAAGCTGTTTGCACATGTTCTATGGAACTCTTCTCTTAAATAGAGAACATTGTTGGTTAGAAGAAATAGAATAAAGTTCTATTCTCAGCTCAAGCTGGACAAAAAATTTGGATCCAGTTTTGGTCGCCATGATATAAAAAAGATGTTGAGACTCTAGAAAGAGTGCAGAGAAGAGCAACCAAGATGATGAGGGGGCTGGAGGTTAAAACATATGAAGAATGGTTGCTGGAACTGGGAATGTCTAGTTTAATGAAAAGAAGGACTAAGGGAGACATGATAGCTGTCCTCCAATATTTGAGGGGCTGCCACAGAGAGGAGGAGGTCAAGCTATTTTTCAAAGCACCCTAAGGCCAGACAAGGAATAATGGATGGAAACTAATCAAAGAGAGAAGCAACCTAAAACTAAGGAGAAATTTCCTAACAGTGAGAACAGCTGATTGAAGTGAAACCCTATCCCATTTCAGACAAATGGTTATCCAACCTCTTCTTAAAAACTTCCAGTGTTGGAGCATTCACAACTTCTGGAGGCAAATTGTCCCACTGGTTAATTGTTCTCACTGTCAGGAAATTTCTCCTTAGTTCTAGGTTGCTTCTCTCCTGGATTAGTTTCCATCCATTGTTTGTTTTCTCAGCTTCTGGTGCTTTGGAGAATAGCTTGACTCCCTCTACTTTGTGGCAGCCCCTCACATATGGAAACACTGTTATGTCTCCCCTAGTCCTTCTTTTCATCAAACTAGACATAGCCAGTTCCTGCAACCGTTCTTTGTATGTTTTAGCCTCCAGCCCCCTAATCATCTTTGTTGGTCTACTCTGCACTCTTTCCAGAATCTCAGCATCTTTTTTATAATATGGGTACCAAAAGTGGATGCATTAATGTATTCAAAGTGTGGTCTTATTGAGGCTTTGTAAAGCAGTACTAATATTTCAGATGAACCAGGGAACAAGAGGTCTGTCCTTCCAGTTTTGGAGTGAGGAACGGCCAGAAGAAGTCAGGAGAAAGCAGCCCTTTAGATATTGGAAGACTGCTATCATGTCTCCCCTGGTCCTTCTTTTCATCAAACCTAGACATCCCCAATTCCTGCAACATTCTTTGTACGTTTTAGCCTCCAGTCCCCTAATCCTCTTTGCTGCTTTTCTCTGCGCTCTTTCTAGAGTCTCTCAACATCTTCCTTACATCGTGGCGACCAAAACTGGATGCGATATTCCAAGGGTGGCCTTTCGCTTCCTCCTTTGGGGAACTTCGGGGAGCTCGCCCTGCGCTCGCAGAGGCACTGCAGAGATTGCACGGCTCTCGTTTTTGCCACCTTCTTTTGCAATGGGAGAGGATGAATTGGGGAGCTTCCCGCCGCCCAGCAGCAAAAAACAGGCCGAAGAGCTGCCTGCCAACCGCTAGGCGTCCCTGACCCCTTTCTTGGCCCAGCCCCGAGTCGCTCTCGCATCGCGATCCTTTGCTCTCGTATGAAGCGTTAAAATCTCCTCCCCGGGGCACCCACCTGCATCAAACCTGTGTAGGACTCGCCCCGACCGCATGGCACTTCCCCAGCGGGAGCCTTTGCGAGAACCGAGAAACTGCGGAGCGCTCGAGGGTGCAAGCATGGAGGCGCCTCGGATGGGGAACCTGTACCTGGAAGACCCCTTGCTCCAGGGTTACCTGAGAGCCCATCTGCCCGCTCAGGTGGGTGAGCGCCAGGCGGGGATTTGACGGTGGGGGCCGCAGGGCTGGCTCGGCGCTTCTCCGCCTCCTTTGCTGCCCGTGGCCCGCTCCCCATCGCTTTTGCTCCTGTGCCCCCTGCCCCTGGCCAGGTCCCTTGACCGGATAGGGACAGGAGGGTGAGATGCGCACCCAGTTGGGAACCGGGCAAGGGGATGGACTACAAGACCTCCGAGGTTCCTTCCAGCCGGATGGTTCTATGACAGAGCCAAGGAGGCTGGGAAGCTCCAATTTCTGCCTCTTGTGTAAGAGTGTCTCCTCCAACCTTTTTCAAAGGGGTGCTACTGTACAATTCTCTTCCCCCAGCCAGCTGGTGTGAGGTTACAAAACAGGCCAGGACAGTTTACATCATACTGAGAAGGAAGGAAAACTGGCAGAAGAATATTAGAAATTGATTAGGGACTTAATATGTTTGGAGGAGGGGAGTAAACTGAGTTTCCATGAAAAGAGCTCCCTCTCCTTTTAGAGTTATGATGGCAGAGTTCAAATCATGTTTTTCCTGAAGTAGTTTTAAACTTTGATATTTCCATTTTTGGGAACCCTGTCACAATTTTGAACGCTCACTGATTAAGTCCTTGTTCATTAAGTGAGGACTACCTTTAGAATATGCTGTCTCTGCTGTTTATTCAGACAAATTGTATAATGCAACATTATCAAAAGGAAAAATCTTTAAGCAAATACCTTTGGCATATATATGTTGGATACCATTGCTTATCTGAGGGAGATGGAATGTTCTATTCCATTCTAAACAAATAGAATGGAACAGAACGTTTACATGAGCATCCTGATTCTGGAAACACAAATTTGCAGCCTTGAAAAAAACAGCAATGATCCAATTCACTCATTAGATTACAACAACAGAGTTTCAATTTGATACAATAGCATTGCAAACAAATGATTATACAAAAACGTATCTTAACTTGTAGCATCTACAAGTTAAGCACCTGTGGTTCTTGTAATATTGCAGTTCACATCATTAGCCATGGTGGTTGAGGCTATTTGGAGTTCTGGCTCAGCCACTTTGAGTGAGTAACATTTTCTACCACCCTTACCTTATGCAGTGCAACCTGAATATTGTTAAATCATTATGTACAACAAATGTCGCACACTTTGTAATATTCCACCATAAGTAAATCGGGTGAAATCCAGCAGGTTCTGAAAGGTTCTGGAGAACTGGCAGCAGAAATTTTGAACAGTTTGGAGAACCGGCAAATACCACCTCTGGCTGGCCCCAGTGTGAGGTGGGAATGGAGATTTTGCACTTTCCTTCCCCTGTCACACCCACCAAAACACACCCACCAAGCCACACCATGCCCACCAAGCCACGCCCACAGAACCCGTAGTAAAAAAAATTGGATTTCACCACTGAAGTAAATCATCCATATCACCAGCAACTCAAAGTTTATAAGTCACTTTTTCCAAGGCCTTCATAACTTTGAACTGTTATTAAACAAATGCTTATAAGTCAAGGACTAGCTGTACATTTAATGTACTAACAGTATATATTTGTTTTTTCCTCCAGCTGCCCAAAGACAAATCATGCATTAGATTCCCACTCACGCTAAAGAGCTAAACAAGCTCCGGAAGCCTTGTGAGAACCATCAAAAACTTTGATTCATATATATCCCTTTTCAATGCTGTATTTTCATCAATTGTTTTACCCAAGAAAAGGATGATGGGAATACAGTGAACGAAGCTTGAAACTGAGCCCATATATAATCTGCGTGTTCTTTAGGAAAGACACTGAGAGGCGACTTGGTTGTTCTAAGAACTAACCACAAACATAGCTTATTTGAAGAAGCAACACCTGATGAAACTGCTGGCCAAATAAAGAAATCAGCAGCCCTTTAACTTAGCTTCCTTTGTTTCTTTCAAAACTACATTTTGATACCTGTCCTACCACCTCTTCATGTTCCATATTTATGCATTGACCTTGTAGGTGTTTGCTGAGGTGAACGTTGACCTGGAACGGTTCGGAGCTCGTTTGAGAGATGAAATTGACTTCTTGGACCGTGAGTGTGAGCTAAACCCTCCTAGATTATTGCATTTTGATGCCTGGGGACAACGTGTGGACCAAGTGACCACCTGCCCAGCCTGGAAGAGGTTGAAGGACATCTCTGCTGAGGAGAGCCTTGTGGCTGAAGGTTATAAAAGGAGATATTCCCGTTGGAGGTACTGCTGTGGTTTACGGGAGCCATGCAAAACCATGTGACCCTGTTTGGGTATCTCTTGCATATTCTTGAATCTTAGCATGGCTTAATGTTTGGTTTTGTTTATTTTTTTAAATTATTATTTTGTTTAATAATAATAATCCACCAATTTAAATAGTATAAAAAGAAAAGATATATAAAGACATGACTTCATCACAATTCATCACAACTACAAACAATTTCAGTAACTTCAATAAATTATCAACTTCCCCGATATTTCAAGAAAATATCTTTTCTTCCCTTATCTCTTATCTATGAACCAATTTTAAAGCATTGTCATTCAATCCTCATTAGCAAAAGTCCATTAAGAGATACCAGAAACAACAACATATATTTTAACCAAATAATCCAACTTTACAGTCCTTTCTTTCAATTTAAGGATTTTGGTCTTTAGACCCTTAAAATCAGCAGTCTCCAACCTTTTGGATACCATTCCATAGAAAACAATTTTTCCTCGAAACCAAGGTGGGGAGGAGGGGGGACTGATTTCATGCGTTATCTAGATCTCAAGGACAGATGAAGCTTCACTCACTTGCGTGGTCCAGTTAGAAATGAGTCGCAGAAAGATACTAGTCCATGACCCGAGGTTGGGCCCCCCTGCTTTAAATAGTGTCCCAGAATTTGATTTGTCAGTCTCTTCTCAGAAGCACCTTCACATTTTAACATCTTCATTGTAAATCTAAGATAAAAAGCTATACAAATCTAGTTTGTTATTTGTAGATCCCTTTTAATTATTAAGACAAGTTGTTTTGATTTGTAAATCCAATATAACATCTTTTTCCATATTGATCTTATAACCTGTCAACTATGGAGATTCTCAGTCATCTAGGTCATGATGGTCCCAAAGTGCTTTTTTTCAAGAGGCAACTGGACTTTATGTTTTTTATTTGAAGACATTTCACTTTTCATCCAAGAAGCTGAATCTTTAGCAATCAGAGCTGAAGAAACTTCTTGGATGAGAAACCAAAACCCAGAAAGTTCAGTTGCCTTTTGAAAAAGCACCTTGGGACTCTATACCTGTGGGAGTCTATTCTCTTCTGGTCTCTTGGTGGGGAGCTTTTATCCGGAATACATGTGGGCGATCCCAAGTCCTCTTCTTGTTCAGAATTCCAGACAGGAATTCTGAGAAGCTAGCTCCTTCCTCATTTTGTTGCAGTCATGGGCTCTGCTCTCCAGGGAGTCAACTTCAATTCACCAACTGCTTCCTCAGAAGTCCTTTTCCTTTTCCAGTGTGTTTCAAATCTGCCATTTAGGCATTTTGGGGAGGCATGCCAAGTTCATCTTCATGTATTTCTCTTTTTGCAGCCGTGTTTATCAAATTGCCAAGATGTATCTTTTTATGTCCAATTCTGCTTGCTATGGATGCCCTCTAGCCATGACTGATGGAGCAGCAAAAGTAATTGAGGTAAGTCTTTGCAAAGGGGGAACTGCTAGAAGTGACCGTTTTTGTTATTTAAAACGTCCAGGTGTCCTTAGTAACATTTGTAAAAATCTCTCTGTCCTATCCCCTATCCCTCTGTTTTATGCTAACAAGTTGGAAAGTCACATCCATTTTGTACCTGTTGAATAGTCATAGCTCTTTCCATCTACACCATCAAAAAATTCCCTGAAGGATGGTTGGATTCTCCCCCCACGCCCCAATAATACTCTCCCAGGATCTGGCTCCAATTCCAGATCATTTTACTTTGTAAGCCATCCAGATTCATCAAGAATGAATTGGGTGGCTATGTATATTATCTTGAACAAATAAATATAAATAATAAATTATGTTCGTTGACTCAGGGAGAATTGCCATCTTTGGTCCTGGATGGGATGGCACTACCCCAAACAGACCCTGTGCGTAATCTGGGGATTCTCCTGGACTCACAACTCCTGCTTGAAGAGCAGGTGATGGTCACAGCCAGGAGAGCCTTCGCGCAACTGCGAGTTGTGCACCAGTTACACCCTTTCTTGGACTAGCAATCCCTACCCACAGTCATTCATGCCTTAGTCACTCCCCGTCTTGACTATTGCAACACGCTCTACATGGGGCTGCCGTTGAAGAGCATCCGGAAGCTCCAGTTGGTGCAAAATGCAGCGGCCCACATGGTTTTGTGCGGACCCCGGTATGCACATATATCATCTCTCCTGCGGGAGCTGCATTAGCTGCCAATTTGCTTCCAGGTGCAATTCAAGGTGTTGGTTGTCACCTTTAAAGCCCTTCATGGCTTGGGACCAGGTTATCTGAAGGACTGTCTCTTGTCAGTCACATCTACTGGACCCATTAGAGTGAGGAGGCAGGGAATGCTGCGGGTCCCATCCCCAAGGGAGATACACCTGGTGGGACCCAGAAGGGCCTTCTCCGTGGTGGCTCTCTCTCTCTCTGGAACATCATTCCCCCAGACCAGAGATTAGAACAGCCCCCACTCTAATTCTCTTCTGGAAGGAGCTGAAGACCTGGATCTGCCAGCGGGCTTGGGGAACCCAGAGTGGGATGGAGCCCATTAAATGGCTCGTGTGATCGGCTGTCGCTGGGGTGGGAGGTGGGGGTCGGGTGATTTTATTACATTAACTTATTTGATTTTTTTTATGAGTTGTACTGTTTTTAAATGTATTTTTTTATATTCTGTAAGCCGCCTTGAGTTGCCATGGGCGAATAGACGGCAATATAAATCTAATAAATAAATAAAATCTCCCGTCACTCCCAGAGCCTGTACAACGATACTGAATCTGTGTGCCAAAAGCCACAGTTGATGATGCAACTTAACAACTGGTTCTCAAAGTAGTCTTGATAGGGAAGAGGTGAACATTTGGCTGCTGAAATCAAAGGGAGTAGAAGACCTGTTGGAACACAGCATCTTTCAACTGCTGCCTATTTGTTGCTATTGTAGGTGAGATCAGCAGAAGTGTGGATGCACACCCTAATGGCTGATTTGCTGAAAGAGACATACTACATTCAGAAGTCAAAGGCCAGGCCAGTCTGAGCCTCAGTTGAGTTTCTGCAGACAAAAGGTTTATGCAGTGAACGGGTGAAGCACCCAGAACTGAAGGCACAAGAATAATTGTCAAGTGTATAAGGGGTCACTTCCAGGCATTAGGAAGCCTCCACCAAAGAGATTTTATAACCCAGGCTGCAGCTCTTTACTCCAATTCATCTGGCATTCATTAATCCTGAAGAGCCACCCAGGAGAGCAACTCAAAGCACCCTGTCTTAGAAGGAAGCCTTGGGGCACCTCTGGGTCTTTTAATTGGAAGCCCCTGGCTGAGTAGCTGCATGGGTTAATCCAGTTCAGAATCTTGTATGCTAGCAGGAATTGATTTTAACCTGGTTCCTCTCTGCCATGTTCCATATAGTACAAAGGCCTTGGTGATCGTCCTCCCCTTGCCCTCCCCTTTCAGACCTATGGGTGCAGTAGCTCCCTTGCCTAACTTTGCTGCTCAGCGACTTTTGCCATGACCTTGCTGTGCCAGGGAACCTGATTATCTAACTGCAAATAGGCCCCCAATTTTGATGGTGATCACTGTATGCTTTTAGTCCTCTTGCTTGTGTCATCCCATCTCACATAGGAACTGAAGGCCGGGCTGACAGATATTTCATCTCTCCATCCATCTATATACAGTATCTGCCTTTTGTCTCTTGCTTGCAACTCCAACAGTCTTTAGGGATCCCAAAACCCCTGGAAGAAGCCTATGCTCGTTTGACATCAGCTGACCCCAAGACATTCTGGATCTCTGGCCAATGGATGACTGAACGCAAAGGCGGCTCTGATGTTGGTAAGGGGATGCAACATGGGAGACCCAATCCTTTCTTTCTGAAATAATACAGGTTAGCGAATAAGATTGTATTTGGGTAGACTGACTTACTCAACAGTCTGCATTTAAAGAAGTTTACATTCATATGTTAGGCTATTTTTCCAGGCATGTTTTGTGGGGGGGGGGTGCTACATTTTGAATTAATTTATGTATGCTGTTCTATAAAAAAGGGAATGGGAAATCCATAAACTACAACTTGCACAATGGCTATACAAATTACCGCCTTATAGATTAATCTTCAATGCAGTTCTTCTGCAATCACAGATGGCAGATAAAATCAGATATCTTGTTCACACAGAGGCTACCCAATATCCCTGATGAAACACCTCTTCAGAGGCAGAGGAATTGTGCTGTCAGCTAATTTAAACTTTAATAGCTAGACTATTAAATAGTGATTGACATTAATGAGAAAGGATTGCATTTTTAAAAGGCATTTTGGTGTTTCAACGTTTGGGATCTAGTCTGGCTATAAGAAAAGGTTTGTTTGCTTGAGCAAGCACTACCTCTTGAAGTCCAACCTACCTCACAGGTTTGTGCTGGGGAAAATAAGAAAAGGGAGTTGTGAAGGTCACCATAAACTCCTGAATGGAAAGCAGAAGCAAAATTTAATCAACCAGTGGTCATTAGTCCTCTTTTAGGGAAAATTCCCAGCCCAAAAATGTGGGGGTTTTTTCCCCAGGTGGTGGAACAGAAACTGTTGCACGGGAACTTCCAGATGGCTCCTACAGCCTGCATGGATTCAAATGGTTCACATCAGCAGCTGATTCAGAGATGACGCTGACCCTGGCAAGGATCGTGGGCCCTGATGGGCAAGTAAAACAGGTCAGTTTCCCAGGCCAACCCAAAGAATATGAAACAGCAGCTTGCAAGTAGTTACACGGTCAGTAATGTCCGAATTCCAGCTCCGTTTATGTGGTCTGAAGCTAGCATCTTTTGTGTGGCAGGGCTCCCGAGGCCTCTCGCTCTTCTACCTGAAAATATATGAGGATGGGAAGCTGAACGGCATAAAAATAGAGAGGCTGAAAGAGAAGCTGGGCACGAGGGCGTTGCCAACGGCAGAGCTGTTGCTGGATGGAGCTCGAGCACATCTGGTAGGAACCACGGAGGAAAGTATTTCGTCCGTTCAGGACATTGAGAGGAGCACAGAGAGTGCGGTCAGGCAGGGAAGGCTGCTGACCTTGAAAGGAGGGAATCAGCAAGATGGAAGGGCTCACTTAGACCAGCATTTTTCAGGCTTGGCAACTTTGAAATATGTAGACTTCAATTCCCAGAATTCCCCAGCTAGCATATGGATTTATACCAGTAGGTGGAAAAGCTATGCAGGGGAAGATCCTCACCTTTAGTGTCTGGTGCGGCTTACTTCAAACGATTTCTGTTGTTTTTAAAACTGTTAGCAGAAAAAAAAAAGCTTGAGACTTCTGAACAACGGTTCAAAAAAATTTTGACCCCAGAGGATGGTACAATAGGCCTCTTTGGTGCATTCAGTTGCAAATATGGTTTTAGTATCGTATGTTGCTCCTTTGCTTGAATTGTGTGTACTCAGCTTTATGGTTCCTCTGATACACACACTTTGTACATTTTTAGAATTAGTTATTTAAATTGAAAGGTTGGTTTGTAGGTCTAGTCTTCCTGCCTTTGCTTCAAGCCAAATGCTCTTCTCTTTCTCTGATCCTGAAAATGGTATTTAAGAATTTTTTTTTTGGGGGGGGGGGGGGAATGTACCACTGCTGCCCATTTAATTGCAATTAGCTTTTTAAGGGGAACCGAATCAAATCGTTTGAAGCTGTTCCTTGTTGCTTTCAGATCTCTACGGAAGGCCAGGGGATACCTTACATTGCCAACATGTTGAACATCACTAGGATCTATAATGCTGTGGCTGCAGCAGGAAGTATGAGAAGGTGATTTTCAAGCCTGAGAAGTAAAAGCAACTAAGAAAAACTATATCTGGACAAAATTAAAAGCAATTCAGTTCTACTGTTATCTCAAGGATAATTGGGCAAAGAGTGAGAACAATTGGGAAAATGTAGTTTGGCATGTCCTAAATTTCAAACTGCTAAAGATGTGATGACATCACCTGAAAATGTTGGTCAACTTCCTGCAAACTATAGAGGATTACTCAGGTGTATTAAAAGCATTTCAACATCGTCACACACCTATCTGCAAACTTTGTTTTAAGCAAAAAGAATATGCCAAAAAAATACCCATTTTGTTCTCCAGTATTGGCAGCATGTGTTGTTGTCTGCCTGCAGCCTGCAGAGCTGGCAGCAGAGCCGGACAGTGAGGAGGCTGGGGAGGAACATGGGTTCCTGAATGGAGGGGTTGTTCCCGTAGTCTGTATAACGAGAAATGGAAATAATTTTGCTACCTAGAGGCTGGATTGATAAAGAGGAAAAAATACCTAGCATTTTTATTATATTAATGTTATATCCCTCCAGTGTATAACGTTATATATTATCTTCGGTGATATCAGAAATAGTAGAGGTCTCCTGCGAGAGCAAGGGGTTGGACTAGATGACCTACAAGGTTCCTTCCAACTCTTGTTACTGTTACAGTGTTATGCCTTAATTAAAGAATGAAATTAAATGCTGGGAAATAGTAGAAATACATTTTAAAAATTGGAGCAAAGGCAGCACTTAATCCCTGTGGCTGGCTTTGTTCCCATCCATAGAATGGTCAACCTGGCACGGGATTATGCCACCAAAAGGGAAGCCTTTGGAAAACCCCTCAAAGATCACCCTTTGCACATGCAAACTCTGGCACGAATGGAGGTGAGCACACGCCCTCTTGGGTCCAGACTCCAGGGGTACTTGGGAAAGATTCCAGAATGTTCTCCTATGGTTGTTTGGAATCAGATGCCAGTGTAGGGAGAGTAGCATACAATTGGAGAACTTTAACAACAGAATGAAGCATGTAAGATTCAGAAAGTTTAACCCACTATGGAAGGAGAGGTAGTTTGCTGTAGTGGTGAGGGCACAAGGCTGGGAAATGGGGACTTCTAGTCCGACCTTAAGTCCAAAGCCAGCGGGGTGACCTTGGGCCAGTTACACGCTCTCAGCCCTAGGAAGAAGAAGCAGGCAAGGGCAAATCCTTCCGAAATCCTTTCCAAGAGAACTGCAGGGATTTGTCCAGGAACTTGCCACACACAGGGAAACAGCCATTGCCACCCGCAAACCATGGTTTGTAGTTTGCCATGTGATTATTGTTCCGGATAGTTGTAGAGGGAGGAAGCAGGAGGAGGAAGGGAGGAAGTTGCCGGCCTCGAGGTGCCGGTTTGCTCAGACGAACTGCCTTCCCACTTGTGCAGGTGCAAAGCCAAGCAGCGTTCCTGCTGCTGATGGAGCTGGCGAGACTGCTTGGCCTGGAAGAAACGAAGGCGGCGACGGAGCAGGAGAAGCACCTGCTGAGACTGCTCACCCCTCTCACTAAACTTTATACTGCAAAGCAGGTCACGCTCAGTTTGATGCCATGGGCTAATCAGTGTCCACGACTGGCAAAGAGGGCGCCTATACAGGGGCATTGAGTCTACGGGATCAAAGAATTGGGAATCATAGTCAGCCCCTCTTCCCCTAGCAACGTTTATTCAAAGGCATCAGTTTTTGTCACAAACTCATGAAGGCAGAATGCCTTTGAATGAAACGGGTTTGTCAGAAGAGGGGCTAGTGGGATCCTGGTTATTTGGTTTTGCAGAAGACTATAAGCAAACAGGCCCCTGAATCCTCAAGTAAATGTGGCTTAGATAAAGATCAAATGCACAAAAGCAAAAATATTCAAACATGTACATATCTGGAGCCTGGCAAATTTGTCAGGTGTGTAAACAAGTCAGTTTGTGTTTCAGGGGATTGCTATGAATTCGGAAGGCCTGGAATGTTTTGGAGGACAGGGCTTCATGGAAGACACAGGCTTACCTGTTATTCTTCGGAATAGCCAGGTAAAGAAGCACTGGACTTTTTATTTTGTTTTTTACTCCTCCTTTACTTTCTTGCATCCTGCTGCTAATTTAGGGAGAAAAAGCAGGAAGAGAAATTTGCACTTTATTTCCTTTGTTTCACTTTTTCTTCCTGACATTCCTTTTGTTATCGCAGAATTCTGAGATCAAGAAAAGGGAAAAAGGTAATTCAGGCCTCTGAATACTCAGAAAGTACTTTCTTAAGGAATGCAGTCTCTTATAATGAATATTTGCCTTTGAAAAAACAATAGTAGCATTCCATAACACCTGAATGTGTTCCAAGTGCATTTGGAAAATAAATTCACTTACAAACCAAACTGTTTAAAAATTACATTTCTAAGGTCATTACTGAGAACTGCTATATTTTGAAGCAGTTCTAGTGAGAATAACATATAAAAGATCTTTCTGACCACATTAATGCTTTTAAAGTACAGAATTTTCGTTCATAGAAGGGGGAAAAAACCCTTATCCTTGAGTGTTTATAGGGCTAGACTAGGAATGGAAAACCCGAGAATATCATGGAAGCTATTGGGAGACTTTGGGACTGTTATGCTTGGTCAGCCCAACTTATTCCTCCAGGTTGTGGCTTTAGCATCTGTTTCTTGAGCTCTGCTTCCCTTTCACCGGCAGGTGCTTTCAATCTGGGAGGGAACCACGAACATCCTGTCCCTGGATGTTCTGCGCTGCATCCTCAAGAGCCAAGGAAAAGCGCTGGATGTCTTTTTCTCCACTGCCCAGGTAGGCTCTCTGAAGGCACCCATACCTGAGTTTGTCACACCACCTATAAATGTTAACATTTGAGATGCTCCTAGTAGAAGCAACAGGCTCACTCGGCCTCATATAAAACTGAGGTGGTCTTTATTGACATTGATTTGTGCTGCTATTGCCCCTTCAGAACTCACTCCGCTGTAGTTTGCAGTTTATTTCATCTTGTTCATAGTTAAGAGAAATTGGTTCACGGCAGAAATTGGTCTTTTAAGTAGCACAGTCCAAATTTACTGCCACTTCTTATTTTGCCTCCATTCAGGGTGAAAAATGTAGCCTTCATCTGCCAAAGCAGAAACCAGTCCAAGGGTCTTAAATCTAAAGCACAGGCAGACCCTGAGGCCTCTAAAAATGATAATTCCAGAATAACATTTAATTTGTCAGAAGATATGACTGGGGAGGCATTGTATGAAGTACATTTTAGCTAAGTGCAAATGGTTTAAGATCAGTTGTACTAATCCTATCCACAAATTTTGGGTACGTAACTCTCAAAAGACCAGCACAGTCCTTAGCCTGAACTGTTACACTGACCTTAGCTGTGACACTGTTCTCCACAGGTGCTTCGGTCACCAGTTCATTTTGAGGTGCCACTAAACCTAGTACTGCGAATTATTATGTGTATTTATTCTGTGACTTGGCGGGGGGGGGGGGGGGTCCCTTGCAGGCCAAGTTGGAGGCAGCTACCCGGCAGCCGGAACTGCAGGCTTCTGTGCAAATAATTCAGAATAATCTGCAAAAACTCAAGCAGTTTGTTCGAAGAATGGACTCGAAGGGAGAAGCTGGCTGGCAGCTTGCAGCGAGAGACTTTGCCTATGATCTGGCATGGATCTATGAAGGTAATGAAAGAATTGCCTCAAAATATTTTGCTTCCTTACCACAAAATCATCTCAAATTGTTTGAGTGTTGCTCAGAAAGACTCTGAATGATAATCCTCTGAAACAACCCAGCATTCGGAGTTTGTATGCAATGCTTAAAAAAAGAGGATTCTGTAGCCAAAAATAAAAGCACACAGAAAGTGGCTCTTGTTGGGGTGATGGAGTATACAGAAAACCGAACAGAAGATGTCAGTGATGCGCTACTGTTAGAAATGTAAAAACACCAAAGATAACAGTGCAAGACCGAATTGATCAAGGAGGCAGGAAAACCCACAGATTTTGAGCTGGGATTAAATTTAACATCAGTAAAATTAGTCTTCTCTTCTATACATGGGATTTGAAACAGTGCAACCTGGGGGTTTTAAGTCAGGAGCTCAGCCAAGCCTCTTATTTGTCGCCTTTAGCTGCTGCATCACCTTCCTAAGCATCCTACTGATATTTCACCTTCCCAGGCATGCTTCTGATTATTGAACAGGCTCAGGATTCTTTCCTAATTCCACAGCTCATGCTGTCAACTGTTCTCCCAAACCCAAGCTTGGCAGTGGCAAAAGAAGAAGCAGGAAGACAGTTCTTTAGGAGAAAGTGGTTCCTGGAATGCTGCTAACAGGGATTAATAGGAAGACTTTAAAAGGAGCTTGCAAATTATTCCCTACAGTGGAGAATTCCCCATGTGGTCAAGTGTGGAGCCGATTCAGGTTACAGGGTAGATCTCGTTAGGAGGATAAATCAAAAATGTTCATAGACTATGTATTTAATTCCCACAGGAGTCCTTCTACTGGAGCATGCAGCCAGGGCTGGTGCATCGGCCACAAACATCTATGCTGCTCAGAGGTATCCATTAAATCTAACAAGACAGAAACCCAAAAGATTGCACCCATTAACATCAAACACATATCCTGACTTGGATGAGCAGGGGCAAGCATGTGCATGTGCCATTTAAGTGAGCGGCAGGGGCACATGCACATTGGCCGCTCGCGTGGAACGACCTCCTCTCCCCCCTCCCCACCAGTCCGCAAAGCCAGAAACGTTGGGAAACTCTGTTCTAACTGGTTGTGTGAACAGGTCCCTTCCTGGATTCTGAGAAAATCATTCACCTCTGTCCTAACAAGGGGGTATGCAATAATTTGTTTACACCAGCTCAAAATGGTGAGCCAAAACCTTTCTCCAATTTTCTGATATATATGTGTCATTAAGCTCAAGGCAGATGCCATCAAAGCTTTCTGCTGTATACTCTTATTGAATGTTGATTGTCACAGACCTGCGTCGGTAGCCAAGAGGCGCCATCACCTTTCAATCGTGGCAACAGGAAGCAATGTTGAGGTAGATGGGGTCTGAAACTAAGAAATCCAGTTTGAATTTGAAGGCAGAAGGCTTTCTTCTCTCTTCTGCAGGTGGTGTCAGGAGGACGTCTGCCTCGTGGACAGAGAAGAGAAGGCTGGTTCTTACAATTCTACAGCAGCTTCCCTGGATAAATCTTTGGTGTATGATGGGTATCCTTCTCTGAGAGGAAAACTGTAGCAAAGAATGCGAAAGAAGCATCTGGTGAAGGACATGACCTGGATGAGAAGTGTGTCTGTATTATGTATGCATATACGTGAGTCTCAAGTTTTCTTTTCAAAACAAGTCTTGAAAGGACCCATGTAGACAACATTCCAACATTAAGCACCTCTATTGTATGTTAAATGGCAGTTGGCTTCTGAACTCACAAAAAGACTTTTTAAAATAATTCTTGAAGGTAGAAAGGGTGTCATCACTCTACTTTAAACATGTAATTTTAAGCAATCTTTCCCATTTCTTGCTCTCTGGATGTGCTGGACTTCAACTCTCATGTTTCATAGAACACTGGGCAGTGGTAGTTGAAGGACAACACATGTGAAAGGGACTGGACCTGGAAAGGTAGTACTAATTGCTGGCAGCCTTTGCAACTCCTCTCTTCTATTTAGCATTACAGCTTAAAGATACAGAGCACATTGTAATGAAACAGTCAAAGCAGCTCAATTTTTTTTTATTTCGTTTTTTAAACTATTTTAATTGGTACAGGAATGTGAACTATAGTAACCAAATGGAGACAACTGGATACCAGTTGGATTTGCTAATGCTGGACCAGACTCTGCTTAGCTTGATGCAATAAACCTTTTCTTGGATATATATTTTTCCACAAAAATAAACTTTATTCTGACTCTTCTGCCTTACTGTATTCCACATTTTTTTCCCCATGAAGGTCCACTGTTGATTTCCTTTTGAGTTGAGTTCCTGCATTCCTTTTACCTAGATATCAACCATGAAAACTTCCATAAATTTAAATGGCATAAATATTTCCCATGGTCAGCTGTTGCTGATGAAGCAAGTTCCAAATTACTGGAATTACTTGTAGATATGGATAGCGGAGGATCAAAGTTCTGCTTGCAGGGAACAGGATGCAGAACAGCTTCGCTTTTCCAATGTTGTTTTGATAAAGAAAAAACAAAAACAAAAACAAGAACAATTTTTCCAAAAGGATATTGCTCCAAAAAAACAGCTAAAAGCAACCAACACAAAAGAACTTGGGCTAAATTATGAATTGGATTACAAGTCATATGCAAGCATGAAGCACAACTTTTCCTGTGAATGTTCAGTCTTTCATTAAACCCTCTTTCTCAGATGGAAGCCTTTGGTTGCCATTTACTCATCCAGGGAGCTAGCTAGCTTGTTGGCTTGTTTGTTCTTGCTACTGTGACACTGGGCGGCACACAAAGTTTAAAACCATCATAAGAAGAGAAACCCATGATGTCCCAGTTAAACAATAACACACACACCCCAAACAAAACCCACATCCCCAACAGAACTCATCCGGTTGCCTGGTTTAGTAATCTGGAAGAAATTTCCATAAAACCTTCAGTGATTTACCATCCTTTCAGCCAGGTAGGGTTCCTGGCAATTGGAAATCCAGAGAAAGTGGAAATGCTGATAAAAAGTTCTTGGTTTATTGATATGAATTGTGTCACACTTGAGAAACCCCCAGCTACGGAAGGTGTGATTAGCACAATTAACTGGGAATACAGAAAAGCGATGCTGTAGTGTCATTATACTGGACGTGCCATTGTCTCTCCACAAGTGAGGATTGTAGTGCTTTTAACTTTGTCAAAGTACCTTTTCAAACCACGTTCAACATCCTCAGGAAACTGACTCAAGTCCTCTCCCCCCAGCCTTCATCCCAAAGAAGGAGACCAAATTTTTCAATCCCGTAAACTTTGCAAGGAAGAAGATCAATAGGGACCATGAACAGACAACAAACTCCCATTGAAGATTTACTAGCTTATTCCAGAATGAGAAATGAAGGGAATCTGGTCTAGGCATCAAGCAATATAAGGATTCCTTACAGCTACCATATCTAGGAAAACAAAATTTACCTGGTTAGCTTTTAAATGTGATGGCCTTGAAATTAAGGGAAGTTTGAGCGAGAGAGAAACCTCCAGACTGACCTATTTCAGCAGGAGGAAATAACAGTACAAGGATTGGGGCAGATAAAAATTAGGAAGTAGCTCAACAATTGTTCCTGTGTGCAATTTCTAAAATTTATTTCATTTTTATTTATATATTTAATCATTCTAGAGTATTTAAGTCTACATTTGACAAAAAGTGAAAAATATAAAAGTAGTTTTGCTCCTCTTTAGAAGATCTATGCAGTACATTTGTTCTCTCTCTCTCTCTCTCTCTCTCTCTCTCTCACACACACACACACACACACACACACACACACAGAGCCAGGTTTCCTGCTTCACATCCAACGGGACAAAATATGAATAAAAAAAGTGCTCCATTGATTCAAAAGACTAAGAGCTGCAAGCGTTTATTCACACTGTACATCACAGACCCCCAAAACCCGTATTGGAACCCCTTGGCACCTCTTACGAACTGCTGAACATTAGACCTTCTGTTTGTACCATAAAATCACACTGGCTCAAGTGCATCACACAATACCATTCCCCTTTATTATTCTTTTTTGCTTGTTCTAAAATGTCTTGCTGCACACCAGTTGCATTGGAAAAGCATAGATTTAGCCAGCTTTCTGTATGTCACTTCAATAACCTGTTTCCACATTCCCAACCTGGAACCTCTGCTGATTTCCCCAGAGCGTTTCATTCCTTATTGGGGGTGGGGTGGGGAGAAAACCATATTGAAATTTTGTACCGGTCCTCCCAGTTGGAAGCAGACAAGGAGTGTCAAGAAATTACACCCTGCCTGCGCTAAGCCAGAGATGGCGCCTCTGGCTATGCGCTCCTGGAATTTGGATCCTTAATTTCAAATGTCTTCCCTGCATTATTTTGTTCTATGCAAGACATGCATCCTTTACAACCAACCTGGGAAAATTGAAACATCAAGAATTAAACGGACTGACAAAAATCTTCCTTCTTGGAATCAGTATGAAAACTAAAACTGTTTGACAAGCCTCACTTTTATATTTCTTCCTTGGCAACAGGCTCACTAAACCAGTTTCCTTTTGGAAGGCCAGTCTAGTAATTACAGCACAAACGCTTAGAATAGCTTAGGTGGTGGTGTTGTGTTGGTGTTTCTTGTTCTTTTTACACCCGTTGCTGTGTAGCTTGCTCTTTATGGCTCTTGCAGAGCTTCACGCCAGGATTTATGGCAGTTCTGGGTGTGGGAACCTCCCAGGCCAGGGTGTAGATCTATACCGTGTGAAAATTAATGTTGCAGAGAAAATATATGGAAGATGTTTGAAGATGTTCTGTGGTGACACAGAAAGACAGGAATGGCATGTACCGATCTAAGTTCTCCAAGACAAAACAGGCGAGAGCAATAAGAAGAGATTTGATTCTGAATGGATTCAAGCATCTTATCACAGATTATAAACTCTCTATTATAATTCTTCCTCCCACTCCAAAACCATAAACTGAGCACATTTTAAAGAGAGTGAAGGAGGGAAAATACAAAATTTAGAAAAATAGGAGGACTCTATCAAATGTTGATGGGATGACATTAATGAAGTTAGCGGAAGGAAAACAGTTTCAGATTGTTCTGGCCAAGTCACGTCTTTTCCTAACACCTCATTTGGGGGGCTTCCAGCAAACCCACCTTTTCTAACCAGCTCTAGAGCAAAGTAAAACCATCCCACTTCTTGCTTCATGGGGTTCTTTTGTGAAAAGGACACCTCGATGCCATTAGGCCACCTGACTTTGCACAAAGCCTACTGAGTGCAGTGAAGCAGCTCTACTTTCTGTGTAAACTAGGTTTAAAATGGGGGCGAGGAGAGGCATTTCAAAAGCTACCGTCAAAGCCTAGGCACCAATTCCTTTACAAAATAAAAATAAAAATGGATGTACAGAATTTTACATCGGGGGTGACGGTTTAAAGCCACCCTTTTCTCCTCTCGCTTCCCCTCAAAGCAAGCAGGCATCTCTTCTTAGCCAAGGCTTCTCCGCCCTCGGCCACAGAGGATTGCCCAGCGTGGAGAACTGCAATCCACCCCTTGCATTTGGGCAACGGGAATAATCCAGCCCGCTCTTGGAGGACAGAGAGGGGGAAGAGTCCTTTTGAGAAGGCCGTTTCCGTTTCTTCTAGCAGCAACAACTCTCCAAACAGCATGGGGCTGCTGGGAAGTCACAGGAGTGACTGAAAGCACTAGTCCTAACGCTACAGGTATTCACAATCTCTCTGGCAATTCACCTTTCTCTCCTCTCACAAAGGGAGAACAGCCTGCCTGCGGGTGCACGTCTTCAGTGGCAGGGCAGGGAGACTCCCCACTAGACCCCTTTCATGGTCTTCCTGCAAAATCCACACTAAATTTACATGAGAAGGATGGAAAGGGAATGGGAAGTAACAGTGGGGAAGGATTGCTCCTGCTCCACCAGGATCTACCTACCCATCATCCTCTCTCTCTCTCTCTCTCTCTCTGAGCAGTAACCTGTACTTCCAGCTCAAAGTGCATAGCTCCTCCAATCCTACCAGCTTCAGTCCACCAGCAATCGGTGTGTCTCCTTCAAGGGACAAAGGCAGCTTTGTCTCCTCCCAGCTTTCCTTCCAGGCTGGAGCCTCAGTTTGAGGTGGCAGCAATGGGTTTGTCCAGTTCGAGGTCAAGGCTGGAGCTACTGGGGTGCAAGCTGCTGTAGCAGGTTTTGCAGACCCGGCTGGGTTCGAAGAGCTGTTGGCTGGGGACCGGCGCCTTCTGGTTACAGCAGCTGGAGCAAAACACATTTCCACAATTCCTTTGGTCAGAAACGGAAAGAAGAAGAAGAACAAAACATGAACATGAGTTTGCAATGCAGAAACGAAATTTCTAAACAAGAAGAGCTTGGTTTAAATTAGGCAGTAAGGAGTCCTCCTGGAGAGAGAAGAACTCCAGGAGTAGAGGTTTGAGTTCCTTCCCTTCAAGGATGGGCCTATTCCTGCAATGCAAGGGTCAGGTGCTGAAGGAGTGAACAGGAGGCATAAAATCCCTTTTGGATCGTCAACGTGTCTGTGCTGGCTACAATGGGGCACTTGAACTCTGCCTCCAGATGATTCCCCAACATCAACCACCAACCGATCCTGATGATGGCAAACAAATCACGTTGCCTGAGAGAAGTTCTTAGGACTCGGAGGGAGTCCACTGTAGCCCGCTGAGGCTTCAGCACCATAAAACGTGAATCTGCCATGCAAAGTCACACAGCAAGCCACAAGGGAAAACAAGATGCAGTCCACGTGTCGTGAGTGATGGATGCAGAAGCTGAACGGACTTGCCAGTGGTCAATCAGCAGGGGCATTCTAGCACATGCGCCTGGACTGGGTCACCAGAGACAATGCAAGGGCATCCTCGTTGCTTATGGCACCATTTTCTCAAACTGAGAAATGACTGGAGAAAAGCCTTTTGCGTTTCACCCCAAAGTCTTATTCCGTACCTTATGCGGCTTTCCTAAAGAGATGTGATGCTAGAGAAAAGGATGTAATAGAACAAGTCCGCCCCCCTCCCCCCTTTTGATTTAAACTTTAATATTTGGCTGTGATTTTGTTTATGTTATCTGTAATCTAACTGCAAGAACAGCAGGAGGGGAACTTTGGTAAAAGGGAAAGAAAAACATGATCCCAAGCAAAAGCAAACTCTTTTGTTAAATCAGCATTGCTGATTTAGGATGGAAGAGATCACAGCAGAATCTCCTGCTATGGGACGAGGGGCTATTTCTGAGATATTTTGAGAAGCAGAGGCTGTTTATAGGATCCTGCCTGGATATATCTCAAAAAGATAATATTGCCCCCAAAGAAGGTTCAGGCCCACAAATTTTTCTTTTTGCCAAAATCCTAAAATTGACTGTTGGGACTGATAGAAAGACAGAGTCCTTGATAATCCACATGACTAGCAAAGGTGAAACTATGGACAATATTGCCTTATCCCCCAACCATTACTTTTTACCTAAATTTTATCCTTTGGTGTTAAAGTTTGTTTAGCTCTTTTATTTGGGACTGATTGTTCCAGAATCTGTGAGCTACCATCAGCTGCCCCATAACACCAACAAGACCAAGACCAAAATAATCTGATGAAGCAGTGTACATGAGCCAGCTGCCGTTGCAAGGGAAACATTTCGCAGGTTAAGACATTGGCAGCCCCCCCAATGTTAAACAAAAAGCCGTGGATTCCACATCTTATCGGCTGCTTGCGCTTTATGACTTCTGGGAAAAAAGGAAGCGCAGAGGGAAAAAAAGGCAAATGTTAGTCTGGAGAGCTGATCGGAGAAATGCGGACAAGACAACAGAGGCCGATGCAAATGCTCACCAAGTCTGATCAACACGTTCGGGATCCCTGCAGGGAGGGGAGAAAAAACTCAGAGCTGACACTAAACCAGAGAAATTTAAAAAGTACCACTGATGCCTTTCGGGGTTTTTTGGCCTAGAGTGGGGAACTTGCGGCTCTCCAGATGTTGCAAGCTGCAGGTCCTGGCAACCTCAGCCAGCATCGCCAATAATGAAGGATGCAGCAGTGTCTGAAGGGCTTTGGCTTCCCAACTTGCCTGCAAGTGGCATTCTTAAAAGAAACTGGTCACTTCTCTGTATCGTACATTATAAGGAAATACTCTGCACGATGAGCTCTGGGGAACACATTCAGGTCAAAGATTCTTACAGAGCTATGTTATCCATCTGTTGAGGCTGTCTGCGATACCTCTACATAGCGGCTACTCTGAGTTCTTCTATTTCCAGTCAAGAGGTATGGCAAGAACTCATGCACAGGTGGTCCCCAGTGAGAGCTCTTCTTTAACTAGAAGAGAAATCCAAAGTCTAAGAAGACTTCATGAGCTTTAAATCAGGATTCACAACAAATTCTCATTAGAGATCCACCAAGGACACTAGTAAGGGTTGCTAAGGTCACTAGTGGAAAATGATGGCCAAACCCAACAAGGGAGCTGCTGCTCAGGGCGCAAACAGAAACCCAAAGAGACAAGACTAGGAAGATGATCTTCCAATTAACCAGTAACTAGAGACTCAGGAAGGCTCTAGCCCAACCTTTACTTCAAACATGAACCAAATGGGCTGCTTTCAGGCAGGCTACTCTCGGCCTCGGCTCCCCCCCTTGCAATATGGAGACAAAATACAGATATCCATTATTGCAGGGATCTGAAAATATTTCCAATAGAAACACCCTGGAACAATTGAAAGTATGCTCTATCAACAGAAGAGGGTTGCATTTTTATTCATAAGCCAGAAAAACAGATTAGATGAGGGAAATGACGAGAGCTACATAGTTATTTACTATTGGGAGAGCTGCCGCCAATGGGGATGGCGGAAGCACCGGAGAGCAACATCTGTCTGCTGCCCTACTTGCCAAACAGCTGGATGTTTGGCTAGGGAGCTGCACTAACAGGGAAGGATGTCGGCCAGAGGTCCAAAGGCCAAGTGGGAATTGCAAAGTGCTGTCTTGGTGGCACCAAGGCAGGCTGCATTGGGAGGCACAATACCTGCAGTGGTGTTTTCTGCTGACAAGCCAGAAGACAGTGTCACAGCCGTAACAGTGCGCAGCCAGGTGATCGGGCAGCCACCGTGTCACCTACAAAGACAAGAGAGCCCTTGCTTTCAAATGTAACACCGACACGTGAGCACCAAAGCAACGAGACAACAGCGGAAAAACAAATGGATTGAGAAGCTCCAGCATTTGGGAGGGAGGAGAGAAGAGAAGAGGAGGAGGAGGAGGAGGAGGAGGAGGAGAAAACACCTGAAGATTCTTCTGGCAGAGAAATCCCAAACCCAGGTGACTCAATCTCTGAGAAAGCCGTCACATGCTCCCTTTCCTCTGCACACGTCCGCGAGCAACTGCCCAAATCCCCAAATGGCTTTCATCACTTCCCAAAGATGCAGAGCGGAAAGCAAGCAATTCTTTGACACAGGCAGAGGTGGAAAAGTTTTTGAGATGGCTGCAGAGTCGAGGAGGAAAGCTTATCAAGACCGGTGTTAGGACCAGAGGGAGGGAATCACAGAGCGGCATCGTTAGTATATTGTGTGCTGATTAGACAAGGAGAGGGCGCCGGAGATGGATGGAGGCCTGTACCTCTGTGTCCTGTTTATCCACCTGCTCCCAGCTGGCTTCAGAGAAAATCTCTGTACTGCAGCGAGACAAGCAGTTGTGATCCGGATTGCTTTCTGAGTCAGGCACTGAAGTCTGTTGGCAAACAAACACAGCTGAGCATAACCTACTCCCAGTCCACGGAAGGGGTTAGCAGCTGAGAACGGGGCCTCTTCTACATCTGCTGTGGGGAGCAATCAGATCAGAGGTTGGGAAAAGCGGGGTGGGAAAACTGATCCTATCAACCTCTGGAACACGGCCTCCCCCAGAACACTGAGATGAGTGTCTGTCTGTCTATCACAATTATCTATCTATCTATCTATCTATCTATCTATCTATCTATCTATCTATCTATCTATCATCCACCCATTATCTGTCTGTCTGTCTATCGATCCATCGATCTATCATCTATTATATATCTGTCCTTATCCATCTGTCCATCCATCTATTTAAAAAAAAACCTAACAGTGAAAGAGATACACATTGCTATCTGAAAAGCAAACAACTGTCTTGAAGATTTGTATCAACCTCAGCAGAAAGTATACTGAGAAAACTTGGACAAAGAATTCAGCAGGGAGTGGATCCTGGCCAGCTGACGGTCTTATTCAGATGACTTAACAGACTGTTGCTTCTGATCTAACTTGTTAGATCAGCCAGCTAGCTTTCTAACCCGTTTCCTTGTTACATGAATGCAGATCAGCATTTGTCAACCTTGCAAAATTTAAGACGTGTGAACTTCAATTCCCATTAATCCTCTGTTCAGCTCAATTTCTAGTTTAATTTGACAAACCTGTTTTGGTGAAGTTCGCCTTAATCGAACGGGAGGAACCAGCTAGAGACTGAACATGATGGAAAAACACCCCCTTCCCCAAATGAAAGAATTAAATGAAGCCACTGTTAAAAATGATATCTCTCCCCAATCAAACATTTACTGATACATACACCTCCTTCAAAATAAAGTAGTTAGCCTTTTAAATAGTCCTGAAGATGCTCCAAATGATTAAGAATTCATCCCAAAGGACCAAACCAGAAAGCTGTTTCAGTTGGGTGCCTCTTGGTGGCCTTCTGTGCTGGAGATCCTGTGCTCTATGCTGGGGGGGCCAACAGGGAGAGATATTCTCCCCCCACCCCATGCTGCCTATCGACTTAAATTTTTAGTTTCTCATTTAATCTTAATTGTTTCATACTATCTTTCTTTTAAACCTTGTCACCATTTTCTAAGGTGCTCGGAGTTGCTCCAACAGCAAGAGGGGCAGCATATTAATTTAATAAATAAACCAACTCAATCAGTGATAAGCCATTGATGGGCCGCATGTGTCCAATGCAGCCTTTGGCTTGGGGCTGTTCTCTGTGCTGCACTTCTGCCCTGGGCAGTGGGGCTGGCACAAGCGGAGCCAAGCCGAGAAGAAGAAGAAACGGCTGTACATACTTACCACTTCATCCCCATACTCCCCGTTGAAGCGCAGCGAGCTGTTCAGATACTGGCTTTCCAACCGGCTCTTCAGCTCCTGCACCTGCTTCTTCAAGCTCTCCACTTCCTGCTGGTGCCCGCTTTCAATCTGACGGAGGCGCTGCTGAATGATGTCAGCGTAGATGGGCATCCCGTCGTCATCCAGATGATTCCGGGCAGGCTGGTCCGGGCTACCCGCTGTTTGCTGCCGACCCGGGATGGCATGAACCCATTTGTGGTGGAGATTCCTTAGATGCAGCGGGGTGGAGCTGCTGCAGCTGGCCGTGGAGATCTGCCGGCCGAGGGGAACTTTCACCCTGCTTTCTTCCCCGTTCAGGCAGTGCCCGTTGGGCGCAGAGTATTTCTGAGGAGCAGCAAAACCTGCCGGGCTCTCGGCTATCTTGTTCTCGGATGCCAAGTCTCCATTGCACACCACTTCTTTATAGTCCGTTAAAGGCAAGGCACACGGGGAAGGGTTGCTGCTGTAAGGAGTCCTATTTAGAGCTACGGCCAACTTGTGTGCGTCCATCAAGTCCTCCCTCTCCAGCCGATTCTCCACCGTCTGGGAAAGATCGCCGACACTGTTGTCTGCGGGATGACGCCAATGGGAAGACACTTTCTGTACCCTTTCTGCCCTGGCTCCCATTTCTGTTAAGGTCTCGGTCGAGCTCTCCATGTTTGGTGTAACCACCTCAAGTCCTACAGGCAACGGTGGGATGGGATGGGCAGGACTAGGAGCATTTTCAGCTTCTGCTGAACTACTACTAACACCCTCCTCCTCCTCCTCCTCTTCCTCCTCCTCTCTTGAAACTTCGCTATTTCCAGGATTGTCCCAAAAGCCAAGTGGCAGCTCTCCCCCCTGAGTTGGCTTCTGGACCGTGCAAGGGACAGCTGGGTGACCCTCCTCTTGCCCTTGGAGCTCAGAAGCACCCTGTGATACCACCTGTTGATTAGAAACTGGATTGTCTAAGGAGGTTTCTGCATCCGCGTCAGACTTTTCACAAACAGTAGCAGAACCAGCCAGGCGTTCAGTCCTGCGTTCCTTCTCTAGCGTGAGATCCCCTTCTCCTTCCTTCCCTGCCCTTTCCTGACTACACCTTGTATTCTCCTCAAGGCTCCCTTCTTCTTTGGTGGCTTCTTGCAAGATGTTTTCCATCTGCCCCTCGGCCACCGCTACTGAAAGCTCTGCTCCAATCAGAGTCCTGCCTTGCTTGCCCAAATTTTCGCTCTCAAAGAGGTCGTCTCCTGGGTTCCCAAGGTTGCTGAGCTCCAGGGATCGGCGATGTTCCTGCCATTTCTCGTTGAGGCTGGGGTCGCTGCTACGCCGGTTGGTGGTGGCTACGCTGCTGTCACAGGCTGTGGTCAGATTGTCAAAGGATCTGGTCTTTGGTAGCCTGCAGAAGAACAGCAAGAGCAATGGAAGGTAAGTTTAACTTTCTTATAAAGCTCTTATATAAGAGGCTGGAAACCGTTGGTGGACTTTCTACGCGCTAAATATAATAAGAGATGGTTAACAGAGGGATTTGGAGATTAATGTGATGTTTAACTTAACCTGTTGACTGCTTCCCTTCCCTCCCTCTCTCCATCATCTATCTATCTATCTATCTATCTATCGAAAAAGCAGTAAATTTCCCTCCCCTTTAACACATGTAAAAGGAGCGAATTACTGCTTTTTCTTTTTCTTTTCCAGCACCCAGCCAGGGTGGATCCTACCTGTTAAATGTTAAATTTACTTCAACACTTTTCCTCTTTTTCCTTTGTACACTATTTTGTTTTTTGTTGTTAGGGTTGAATGTATGCTTTTGTCTTGTTTCATTTCGTTTGTTTTTCTGTTTTGTATTTTACTTTTTAGGATAAAACAATAATATATGTATTTTTAAATTTAAAATGTAATTTTAACTTTCGAGTAAGTTTACATTCAACAGTTGCAATGTCAGCAGTCATAGCAGAGGGTGCTTTTCTGCAAACCAGTACATTTTATACACTGTGGCTATTGGTTCAATGTGTGGACAGTGAAAGGAGCACGGCAGATCTCCTAAAATCCGGGCTCACCTGCTCAGAGGCTGATCCTCAGGGTTGGAGCCTGGGACGGGATAAGGGGCACAGCTGTCATCCACAGGGGTGGAAGGTGAGGAGCAAGGCAGGTACACGGCACTCCACAGCATTAAGTTGCGCACATGGCACACAGGATACAGCACCTAAGAAAGATGACCAGAGACTGAGCCCAAGCCGAACTTACAGTTTGTTTAGTGACTGTTCAAAGTTACAACGGCACTGAAAAAAGTGAGCTATGACCATTTTTCACACTTTATGGCCATTGCAGAATACCCACAGTCACATGATTTATATTGGGATGCTTGACAACTTCCTTATATTTATGATGGTTGCAGTGTCCCAGGGTCATGCAATCACCTTCTGGCAAGCAAGGTCAATGGGGAAGCCAGATTCACTTAACAACGGTGTGACTAATTTAACAACTGTGGCAATTCACTTAACAAACGTGGCCAGAAAAGTCGTAAAATGGGGCAAAGCCCACTTAACACATTTCTCGATTAGCAATATAAATTTCGGGCTCAATGGCGATGGTAAGTCGAGGACTACTTCTATTTAAGGCTGCAGTGGTAAAGCATTACGAAGTTGAGGTCATGTAAATTGTGATTTATTATTATTAGAGACCCTGAAAATAAGACCCAACCGGAAAACAAGCTCTAGCATGATTTTTCAGGATGCTCATAATATAAGCCCTACCCCTCAAAATGAGCCCTGGTTAAGATCATCAGCCAGACAGATGCAATTAGTACCGTATTTCCCCAAAAATAAGACGTAACCAGTAAATAAGCCCTAATACAACTTTTGGAGCAAAAAATAATATAAGACCCGAACCGCCGAACTGCCAACCTTTCAATCGACAAACTCAGCATCTTAGCCACTGAGCCACCATGTCCCTTATTATAGCTTTAGTCTGGCAAGATTCTGTCCATTAGGTGCAAGCAAATAAAGGGTTGAACTTAGTAGGGTTTGTGTTTGTGTTTGTGTGCCTGACAGCCAGCTGCATCCTCTGCTGAACCTGCTTCACAGGGCAGTTATGAGAGTCAAACAGGGAAAAGTGGGGGGGGGGGGGAGGCTTAGGACCTTTGGAAGAAAGACTATAGAATGAATAAAAACTAGTACATACAGATTCGGACTGAGAGGAGTAAAGCAGGTTTTTGAAAGCTTTGTTTCCTCCTCGCAGCAGGGACCACACCGAGCAGGTCCTTTCTTGGGTGTGCTTCTCGCCTCTCTCCTTCGCGTTGTTGCACAGGAATGTACCAAAGAGGCAGGAGTAGGTGTGTTGCACTAGCTTGACCTAAAAGAAAGGACAGTCCTGGGACCTGGGCTGACAGAGCCGTACGCCAAGGGAGAGACAATATATCCACTCGCTTACTTGGAGCCCATCAAGGTCTAGAAATACATGCATGCACGAATTCAACCACTAGCCCCATGGCAGCCTTCTCCATCTTTGATGAAATGAACTTTTTTCAAAGTGTTCAAGGAAGTACAAAGAAAGAAAAATAAAGTGTTCACTATTATCTAATTCCTATTCAAGAGGTACTTGAAAATAAGATAATGAAAGAATACAAAAATCTCCGGAATGTTATCCTTCTGTTTTTAAGATGTGCCTCATTCTGATAGTTTGTGTTAGGAATTGGTACACAACACCTACAATTCTATATAGTCAAATCCTTCTGGACAGTGATTGGACCTACACCAAAACTGCGGCTAAATAGATCTTATCACTCACTTGGAACACTTAGAATATTCTTGGATGATAAATTATTCAAATGAAAATGTCTCACTGGGAGTTTACACAAAGAATTGTGAAAATCCAAACTGTTTGAGAACTGGATGCAAACTCCTCTAGTTTTGTCTGTTTGAGGCTTTGCCTCAGAATTTGCAAGGCCTGCCGTTGTAACAGTTCTTTTGCTGGAGAATATCTCAAAGGAACCCACAAGTTGCAAAATTTTTGCCAACAGAAGGTGCAGCTTCCTCTTACACAATGTACAATCCACAACAATGGAACAGACTGTGTCAAAGATTAAGAGAGGAGCCTGAGAACGGCGATTCATCACACGAAACTCTTATTTTTTGGCCAGAGTAAACAGCAGAGCTGAACTGAAGCCCTCCCAAGGTAGGATCTGGACATTCAGACAGATTGTGTAGACTCAACGCATTAAATCTGTTGATGCGGGAATTATTTGCGGGAAAAATAATCACTTACAAGGAATGCTTCGTTAAATTCGAAGGAGCAGGGGAACTGCCTCTGGAGTTGATGGACGCAGTCGAGCCACTGCAGAAACACGGGGCAGCGTTCGTTGAGGTCGTCAGAGTTTTCGCCGTGGCCACAGCGGTCTGCAAACTTATGGCCAAAGTCCAGCCATTCCATCTCCACCAGCACTTGGAAACCCTGCGGGAAACAAGCCCCTCCTCTTTTGAGCTCCTGAAGCCACTCTGAGACAACCGTAGCCCTCCATGCCCCTGACAATCTACATGGGGAGGGGTGTCTGATCTTCGCAACTTTTAAGACCTGTGGATTTCAACTCCCAGAATTCCCCATGCTGGCTGGGGAACTCTGGAAGTTGAGGTCCACAGGTCTTAAACTTGCCAAGGTTGGACGCCCCTGATCTACATGGAATCAAACCATGAAACCTCACTGAGGCTGATTTAGTGCAACAAGGAGGGATGTGTGCGTGAACTATTTCTGATTATGTGTACAAGAGCCAGATCGCTGTCACTTGGCCTTCTCCAAAATTAACCTAAGTCCCTTCCGGTCTCCACCTGCTTCGCTCATCCTAGGACACAACTTTGTGTCTCTCTAAATACCTCCTTCCTCTGCCTTCCCTTCTTCCAGTGAGCACCACCACAAGCGTTCTAGCTCAAAGCCTCTTCTCAACCCAAAGCCGAAGGTGTCCCCGATCTAGACCTGTTCCGGCATGACAAACCTCAATGGTCCGGTAATATGGATCCAGCAGCAGCTTGGACAGAGCCACGATCTGCGGGGTCCGATCCCAGCCATCGGAGCAGTGGACCAGGACAGGCCGCTGGTCTCTGTCCACCGCGTGAACCACCAGCAGGGCTGATTTCAGAAGCACAGAGAGATGCTGGAGCCACTTGGTGCTCTCCAGAGCCGACAGCCAGCTGCAGAGGCAAACAAGAGGACAACCTGAATGAGGATGGCTGCTCAGCTTGGATGGGGGGGGGGGGGGGGGCAAAGGAGTCTGGGACAAAGATGCGACAGGTGAAAATGTTTATAGATAGTCCTCGATTTACAACAGTTTGTTTAGTGACCGTTCCAAGTTACGACAACACTGAAATAAGGGACCTATGGCCGTTTTTCAGGCTTATGACCACTGCAGCATACTCAGAGTCACATGATCAAAATTCAGATGCTTGGCAACCGATTCATAGTTATGACTGTCGCAGCACCCCGGGGTCACACGATTCCATTTTGTGTCCCTCTGACAAGCAAAGTCAATGGGGAGAGCCAGATTCACTTAACAACCGTGTGACTAAGGGCTTAAGAACTGTGGCAAGAAAGGTCATAATATGGGGCAGAACTCACTTACAACTATCTTGCTTAGCAACGGCGGTTTCCAGTTCAATTGTGGTCTTATGTCAAGGACTTCAACTCCCAGAATTTCCCAGCCAGCTACTTGGGGACTTCAGTGGCCAAGATTGGAGACCTTTGTACTAAGGCAAGAAGGGAGGAGTGGGGGAGAGGGGCCGCTTACTTTCCCGGGTCCGGCATCTGTGTGCAGAGCAGCCTCAGTGACTGAAAACTCTTCCGAATAGAGTGGATGTTAGCCATTCCCATGAACACCACTTCACAGTTGGGATAATACTCTGTTCAAAAACGGAAAAGAGAAGAGAAAGCAGCTCAGAAGAGGCCGGGATGAACCAAATCACAAGATTTACTGTGGAAACACGCCAGCAACCAATTGGGGCCCATATTTAGCCCCCCTCCTGCCTCTTGGGGACAAAACAAGGGAACCATTCTGACACAACGTAAAGGGACCATATATTTATCTCCTGCCCTGGGACTAGAGCAGTGGGCTCCATCAATAACAGTGGATCTAAATCCAATCTTTCTGATTGCCAGCAAATGAACTTGGATGCCTTCCTGGCTTCACCAGCACTGTGAGCAAATAACAATGGGGGAAGTAACAGCTAAGGTGTCGGCATGGCAGCTGCCAGTTGGAGTGGATCCCAGCTCTGCCCTCTCTGGCATCAGTTGCAACAGGAAGGGGCGGGGGGAAATGTTGAGGGCAGATCCTCAACATTTTTATGGCGTTGTCCTTCTTCCTGGTCTACCTTTCTGAAGCCATCAAGGCCAAGTCCGGACATGCTCTCTGCCTCCTAGGGTGTATAAATGCATGAGCACCTAGAGATGAATTTAACCTTACCTGGACATTCACAGCCCCCTCCTTTGGCTCTGTTGGCGACTGCGGCTGTATAGGAGCGTGCATCTAAGATCAAAAGCTTCTGCGGCTGGATGGCTAAGCTTTCTGCTCCCGAAGCATTGGAAATGGAAGAATCTGGGGAAGAAACAGGCAAAACAGAGAGATAAATTACAAGGTAGCTAGCACAAACGGGGCCTCCTTCTTAACGCTCACCCATTTTATCAGTGTTTCTCCATCTCAGCTACTTTAAGATGGGTGGACTTCATGGCTGGCTGAGGAATTCTAGGAATTGAAGTCCTCCCAATTTAAAATTGCCAAGGTTGCAAGACACTGGCTTATATTAACCTGGAGTCCTCCAGATGTTCAGGGCTGCTATTTCCAGAATTCATAGTGAGCACAACCAGGGAAGCGGCAGTCCCAATGGACGTGCAGCAGGCCAATTTGGAAAAAAACTTTGTCAAAAGAGATGGTGGGAGATTTATACCTTCACACTTGCAAGATTCTGTTTGTGTAGCTTTACAATAAAGTAGAAAGTAAGAGCTGGGGTGGTGCAGGGGTTAGGGGGCAGTATTGCAGGCTAATTCTGCCAACTGCCGGCCTCCAGCAGTTCAAGCCTCACATCTGACTCAGCCTTCCATCCTTCCGAGGTCAGTAAAATGAGGACCCAGATAGTTGGGAGCAATATGCTGACTCTGTAAACCGCTTAGAAGGGGCTGGAAAGCACCGTGAAGCTGCATGTAAGTTTAAGTCTGTATATATCGCTATTGCCAAATAGCTCCTCAGGTCCTGCTTCCTGTCTGGCCTACGTGGGAAGACTGGCCTCAGTGGATGTTGGCCATTTGCATTGTGTAGACAGCCGACCTTTTGGACACAAAGCAAGGTTACCAAGTCAAGCTTACCAAACTCTGCGTCGGAGAAGTCTCCCCCATTGGAGAACTCTCGCGAGCAGTTCCCATTCACCAGTTTACCGCTGCTCGACTTGGAATCGGAGGCGCAGGCTTTGGCCACCGACTGGACAAGATGTTCATCGTCAGCATTTCTCCAGCCCCACCAGCTGACCTCAGGCTGCCCACAGCGAGAAATGACCGCCCCGTTGTTCTGGTGCCTGCATGGAAACAAAAACCAATGCAGCACCATTGTAACAGGAATTAACTGCAGGTCATACGTGCACATAACAGGAACTAACTTTACTTTATTTTATTATCATTGCACAGACAAGATTATTGTAACTTTATTGTAACTGCCACAGAGAACAAACAAACAAGCACTTAGAACAGGGGCCCCCAACCTCCAGGCCATGGCCTATTCGGAACTGGGCTGCAGAAGTGGCGGGACAGTGAGTGTGTGCAGCTCCATTTGTGCAAGCAGCAGGTGAGCATATGTGCGGAACCATCCACCCTCCGCTCCCTCGCCGAAGGAAAAGCCAGAAAGTTGGGGACCACTGACTTAAGAGCCTTAGGAAGCTCTCTGAAGAATTCCAAAGGCAGTTTAGCTTGTCTGTTTAACATGATGGCCTGTGGAACAACTCTCAATATTGGCCACCATTGTGATAAAATGCATGAACTAACATCCGCTGGGATTTAAACAAGTTTTGTGGACACTGGCGAAGGATGCGAAGTCGTTGTCTAAATATATCTGAATACTTCGGAGGATCTGAGTTTGCTTGTTTTTTTGAAAAAAAAAAAACTACCAATGAACAGCAGACCCGTAAAACATTTAAAAAGTATGCGAAGAGAAAGAAAAACAAAAACTAAAGACTGAATCAGCTTTTGCAGACGAGGGTGAAATAACCCAGAGCTATCTAGAACTCCGAGGTCAGCCGACAGTAGCTGGGTTAATGCTGAGTAGCAACGTCAGCAGTTTGGATCTGCCTTTTGTTCAAAAAACGAGAGAACAACCGAGGGACTCATCTAGAGTTTACATAACCTGTGAAGGTCCGAAGTCAGTCCCCTCCTGGGCAAATGAGACCTGAGAAACATTATAATGATCCCTTGCAGACTTCTGCTCTAGGTAATAATCTGCAGAGGATAATCATCCATTTCTACAAAACGAAACGGCATTTAGTCCTGCCTCTCTGAGCCTGAATTTGGAGGAGGAATCAGAAGCTCAACAGCCTGAAAAATGTCAACGTATTTGGAAAGGGGAAAAGCTTCTCTTCTTACTTTTGCTGTGTGTCACATTGCTGCTTTTATTATAAAACTATCCTTATTTTTAACAGGATAATAGCCTGTTTGAAAGCTTTTTCTTTTCGTCTTTATAGGAATACAGATAGTCCTCGACATACAACCCACCATTGAGGCCAAAATTCCCATTACTGAGAAAGACAGTTTTTAAGTCAATTTTGCCCCATTTTAGAACCTTTCTTGACACGGTTATTAAATTAATTACTGTGGTTGTTAAGTGAATCTGGCTTCTTCAATGACTTTGCTTGTCAGGAGGTCGCAAAAGGGGATCAGATGAATAGAACAGAATAGAATACAAGGAAGAGGAGGAGGAAGCAGAATAGAATGGAATAGGAATAGGAATAGGAATAGGAATAGGAATAGGAATAGGAATAGGAATAGAATAGAATAGAATAGAATAGAATAGAAATTTTATTGTCACTTTAAATGTACACTAATGTACAGTGACTTTTGGACACTGCAGCCGTCATAAATCTGAACAGTTGCCAAGCAGCCAAATTTTGATCCCGTGTCCAAGGAAAGCTGCAACGGTTGTAAGCACAACGGACCGTCGGTCATTTTTTTCAATGCCGTTGTAACTTCGAACAGTCACTAAACAAAAGGTTGTTAACCCGAGGACTACCTGTATCAATCCTCTCCCTTCTATCCTCAAAGGATGTTCACTCTGACAGCAAAAGGCATCTCCCAGAAGTCTCTCCGAGATCCGGCCCTGGGATTCAGCAAACCGACCCGCAAAAATCGATCCCCTAAAGATGCCAGAAAGACGCCTCCAGGAAGGCCTGACCTGTAAACCACCACAGGGATGCGTTTCCAAGATCGGAAATTGGCCACGCTTTCCAGCTCTTTGTCCGTTATCCAGACAGGCACGATGAGTTCTTGAGGGTAGCTACTGCAGAGCCTGCGTGGAAGGGAAGAGACGAGCCACGTGTGAGCAGGCACATCCTGCCTCTCTTTCCACGCTGTGGCACACGAGAAGAGCGAGCAGCAAGGAAAATGCAGATACACAGTAAAACCAAGCGCCTTTCCCCCCTCCGTTTTGGTTTTTTTGGGCTAAAACAAGAGAGGCTTGATCACATCCTTCACTGTTCAGCTTAGAACTTTGTAGGAGATGGAGGACTGATTCAGCCACTTTTTGCTTTTTTCCCCCTCCCCCCCGGATGAGAATGAAGTTTTATTCCAGTTAGGCTTCAAGTCACAGCGATCCGTTTCAAATCTAAAAACACGACATGCACATACAGCTGTAAAAGAGAGGGCATGGTGTGACCCTCCCTGGTTCACCTAGCAAGTGCTTTTTTTTAAAAAAAATGCTAAATTTGCCCCACTAGAAATTAAGAAGCAAAAGGGGTAAATGTAACGGCCTTGGGAAGAGGCATCTAGGGAAATGACCCACGACATCCAATTTGTTGCCCTGCATCAGAGGGCAGCACTGCAGGTTCAAAGTTTGTAAAGCTGATTTAATTTTTTTTAAATTTCCCACCTTTATTATTTTTATAAATAAACTCAAGGCAGCAAACATATCCAACCTATCTACCTTCTCCTATTTTCCCCACAATAACCACCCCTGTGAGGTGGGTAGGATTGACTCTGACTGGCCCAAAGTCACCCAGTTGGCTTTCATGCAGAACTAGAACTCACAGTCTCCTGATGATTGGCCCAAGGTCACCCAGCTATCTTTCATGTCTAAGGTGAGACTAGAACTCACCATCTCCTGGTTTCTAGCCTGGTGCCTTAACCACTAGACCAAACCGGCTGTTTCTCTTTCTCAATAAATAGATGATCATTTAAAAAAAACACAAAATTTTTCTTTCCTATCCCACAGTCTTCACAGCCTCACTTCCTCAATCTCAGCAGGCAGTTTCCATTTGGGGAAAAGCAGCAATCATAACTGTTTTTTGCTGGGGTACAATAAGTTTTTTATCTAGAATTTATTGAATAGAACTGGCTAAGCCATAATTCACTGTTGGGCTCTCATATGAATTGAAACAAAACAAAACAAACCACAGGACAGTTTAAAAGCCAAAAGCGGACTCATATGATGGTAGCTGGTGTCAAAAGTCCAGCTTTTTGAGACCAGAGAGCAATAGTTGCGTCCATCTTTTCACTGATTAGCTCATAAAAGCTTGACAGAACACCGACAGTGGAACGCCAGGTTCCTTCGATCTGCCTTCGGAGGCATTAAAAGCTGTTCCCAAAATGTCAAGTTGCTTCAAATAATTAGCGATATTGGCATGCGATCATAGCCAGGGCCACGTACAGCTGAAATGCCCAGAAATGTTGGGCTTTTGACGAGAGCAGATGGTTTTCTGAAGGGTAAAGCCTCCGTGATCATCTAAAGGGCTTACTTGTACTTCTCGTTGATGTTGGAGATCCGCCAGGCATTGTTCATGTCAAAACCCATCCGTTCCACTTCGTTTTTGAATCTCGACGTCACGTGCTCTCCTAGATATTGCAAGAACAGCGAGAAGCAAACAGAAACCACGCGGGTGTTTGTAGAGTGAGAGATTCCCCAATGATTGAACAATAGCAGAACATTCCTGAACTCATCTTCACTCCTGAGTCTATTCAGAACTTTGAAAAGCTCATTAATCCTGCTTAACAGCAAACACAATGCTCCATAAAACAGAGATGTCCAACCTTGACAACTTTAAGACTGGTGGACTTCCAACTCCCAGAATTCTGGAAGCTGAAATCTGAGAGTTGAAGTCCACAGGTCTTAAAATTGACGAAGTTGGACATCCCTGCTGCAAACATCTTATTTGCTCCACTGAAGGGAAGCCGAACAATCCCTGGCACGGGATAGCGCCATGTAGGAAGCACAATGCAAAGGCTAACTTGCGGCTGACGCTCCACAAGGTCAGGACCCTTATCTCGTGCACAAGCCTCTCCTCAAAGAGTCATCAACTCCAATGTGGTGCTTCAAACATTCCTTCGTACCAGGGGTGTCCAATCTTGGCAAGTTGGGCTTTAGGAGCCGTGGTGGCACAGTGATTTATGAGGACCCAGATTGTTGGGGGCAATAGGCTGACTCTGTGAACCGCTTAGAGGGGGCTATTGCTAGTCTGTTCTACAGTCTGTCCTTTCCCACCCTATTCTCAATTCTAATCCAATTCCAATTCCATTCTGTTCTCCACGGTGGCACAATGGTTAGAATGCAGTACTTCAGGCTAATTCTGCCGACTGCTGATTGCCAGCACTTTGGCTGTTCGATCTTGACTGGCTCAAGGTTGACTCAGCCTTCCATCCTTCCGTAAAATGAGGACCCAGATTGTTGGGGGCAAGAGGCTGACTCTGTAAACCACTTAGAGAGGACTGTAAAGCACTATGAAGCCGTATATAAGTCTTAAGTGCTATTGCTATTTAAGACCGGCAGACTCCAACTCCCAGAATTCCCCAGCCAGGAGCAAATGGTGATCACATGACCATTTTGATCATGTGGCTGTTGGGAGACTGCAATGGTTGTAAACCTGAGACCGGTCATAATTCACATTTTTTTAGCGTGGCTGTAACTTTGAATGGTTGTAACTGGAGGACTGCCTGTAGTGTACCAGGTAACGGTGGTTGTAAAAACAAAAAACCTGTCCTAGTCCTAGCCTGTTGCAAGCCAAAGACCCATCGTACCTGGGCGGCACAAATCGCCATGTTGCTCCTTTTCACTGGCGTAGACCTCCATGCACCAGGCATGGTAAGCAAAAGAGAAAACGTCCTCTATCTTTGAGGGGGGGCGGATGGCGTTGTTCAGCCGCTTCAGCCACTCTTGACACTGCTCAAAAGTGGAGAACTGGCACCTGCCAAAAAAAATAACAATAAAAACCCATGCAAAAGCCCTTCACAAATACGATGCAGCTGACGGATGAAATGAGAGGCTAAGGGTCAGAGCAGACCAGAAGGAAATGATCTATTGAGGCTTAACCTTCAGGAAGAGCTTATTTTATAAATAATCATGTGCTGTTCATTATGACCGGCACACTGATTTCCTGACAGGTCAGAGGTCTCCAGACTTGGCAACTTTGAAGACTTGTGGACTCCAACTCCCAGAATTCTCCCAGAATTCCCCAGGCAGGCAGCAGATAAATTTAACAAATACATAAATGAGCCATTATTTCTGACATCCCAATGCCATCCACTGCTGAATTAAAACTTTTGAGATGATTCTGCCAGTATTTTGCTGGTACCACAAGAGTGCTGTTAAGGGTAATTTGTAATGATTAAAAAAAGGCAGTTGTATTCATTTTAGGGAGGGGAGGCCTCACTTGCCATTAACTAACATGAAATACGGACGGTGTTGTGCAGGGACCGTACACACCTGATCACTTTGCAATCTTTGCAAGTCAAGTGAAGCTGGAAAATATCCCGACATTCCACGCTTTCTACGAGCTGCAATGGAACCTGTGACGGAAAAGGTGACATATGTTTTACTCCGAAAGGCTAACACCCATTTTCTCACAAGGATTTAGCAGACAGCTGGAGCCCTGGAATGAAACATTACTCATGCTGTCAATTACTGGTAGCATTTCCCTCCCTTTATATACGAGTATCCTACGTTAAGTCATGAAGCAAAGCGATGACATAATATGGCACGTAGACGCATTTCTCATTTCGATCTAAAATTCCACCTTGAGGAAATGGTGTTGCGTTCAACTCTACTGTAAAACTCGCCAACATTTTAGTACGTGTCTCTGAAATTTGGCCGTAAGGAATGAGGACAGTTGACGCACAAATGTCTGTGGAGATTCTCAATCATTCAGGTCACGGGTGTCCCAAAAGTGCTTTTCCAAAAGGCAACTGGACTTTCTCTGGGTTTTTTTTTTTTCCCCCCTTGAAAAGATTTCATTCTCATCCAAGAAGGGTCGAAGGTGCCTTCGCAACCAACAACTGTCTTCCTTAAACAGCTCTTGCTTCACTAACTTTCAAAATTACTCTGAGAACTCTAACGAAGCCTAACTACGCATGAGGAAGAGACTCAAGTGTTTTAGAAATTAGGAAGATGGCTTGCAAAACTTCCCCACATTCAAGTCTGGCTTGACTTCCCCAAAGACTTAAAAAGAGTGTCCAGGCTCACACAGGTCACGGTGCCTTCGTTACGCTGACAACTGGGATGAGCTTCAGGAGGAGCACCAATTAACGGATTCTGAGTGGGAGGCAAATTCTCCACACCCATAACATGGGCTAAAGTAGATAAATTAGGTAGAACTTAAATGTAACCTTATTAAATATACCCCATCAAATTAAAAACCAAACAACACAATGCCGTCGCACATGGCCTGGGAATCAAAAGCATTCAAAAACCAAAATGGGCCCAATTATAGATAGTCCTCAACTTACGACCACAATTGGGATCCAAATTTCAGTTACTAAGTGCTGCAGCCATTAAGCAGGCCGTCTCGTGACCAAACTCCATTTTACAACCATGTTTACCCACAGTCGTTAAGTGAATCACCACGGCTGCTAAATGAACTGCATAGTTGCTAAGTAAATCAGGTTGCTTGTTGAAAGCCAGCTGGGGACGGTCAAGGTTGCCAACAACCGAATTCCTTATCAAATGGCGTGTGTGTGTGTGTGTGTGTGTAGTGCAATGGTCATAACTTCGAGCTGGTCATTTTTTCTCCTGAAGCTGTCATAACTTCAAACCATTAAAAGGCTACCTGTAATCGAATAGAGAAGTCACAGAAATCCTGACCACCAAGGTTGAAGGAATTACCAATTTTTGGAAAGGAGGGAGAGAGAGAAAGAGAGCCGGCTGCCAAGTGGCCAAATTTTGATCACTTGACCACGGAGAGGCTGCAAACGTCGTAACTTTGAAAAACGGTCACGAATTGCCTTTTTCAAGGCCGTTGTAACTTTGAACCATTGCTAAGCAAACGATTATAAGTGGAGGATTACCTGTGTTAGAATTTATGGACCAATTGGATGTCTTGGGAAGGCTGTCCCACCGAGAGCCACGAAGGGCTTTAAAAGTGAATTATATCTAGAAGTCAAAGGCCTCGTATGTTTCACTAAACTAAATATTCTAGTTTTCTCTTGCCTTCTTCTTCCTACTGGCTCTTTGTTTCCTTTTTGACACTTACAGCCCCCTCAGTTGTCACTTCCTCTGCTCCTTCTCTCCATCTGTTCCGCTTTCCTTCCTTCTGAATAATTTTCTTTATGTACTTCATTACTCTCCGTAAAAATGGCGTATTTACACCCTAGGAAAGGCATGTCATGCTCCTAAGGATTCTGCCTTTCTGTCAAGCATTATATCCCATTCCCCCGAGCAATCTCCATGCTGAAAATCACCACAAAGCAAAACATACCATGCAGGTCAATAATTAGTGCCAGCCTCCAATAACCATTTGCTGGAATTTTGTTAGCAAAATGCAATGTTTAATAAAACAACAAATTGACTGTTTTTTTTTGGGGGGGGGGAAGGTAAACACTTTGGAAATAGGGAATGGGAAAAGAAACAACTTCCAGGAGAAAGAACAATAAAAAAAAAAGTATGCCGGGATAAAAGTGAGCAGGGGAGGGAGGGATTTTAGAAATGTATATGGGAATGACAGGGACGTGCCAAAGAGTGGAATTGAAATGGATGCTATTAATTGTCCGTGACCAAGAAAAATTGGCAAAATGGAAACCATGATTGGGAGAAAATTGAAAATAATAGGCTGCAGGGGTAGATGCTGTGACTGGAGAACAAGGAGGTGGTTTGCTTAGGAAGGCCGTTTAATATCAGTGTGAAGATTGCTTCTCTGCCCAGCAATTAGAAGGATCCTAGGAATAGCTCCTCTAAATTGGAGGGCCATACATTGGATGGGGAGAAAAATTGTAACTTTTTTTTCACTTACTGTTTTGTGCATTTAAATGTACTTTTCTACAAAGGGGTTTCTGGGTTTCAGATCTCAAGGTGGCCCCAAAAGATTACCCTCCCCTCAAAAAAAAAAAAAAAAAGTAGCAAGGGTGAAAGGTTGATTTAAATCAGGAATCTCCAAACTTGGTAACTTTTAAGACTTGTGGACTTCGTCTCCCATGGCTGGCTGAGGAATTCTGAAGTTGGAGACCCCTGGTTTAGGTAACAAAGCGTCTGCAAGAAAGCAACTAAGCTCAGAGAGCATCAAGGACCCCTCCCCAAAGTCACCCCTGGATGAGGCTGACGAGGTCTTCCAAAATTGAGAGGTGAGATTAATGAACAAAAAAGTGTGATGGGTATGGCAGAAGTCAGGAAGATTTGGCAAAAAGCTACGGAAAAAAATAGTTAATGATAGTGGTGCAAATTAGATTGTCCCATTTCCTTCTTTGTCTTATTTTACCGCTTTAATTTCTTTGACTCGCTATTCCTAACCCCTTTTCAGTGCTCTTTGTAAGGTCGCTTCCTCCAAAAGTCAGATTGGTCCATACATTACCAATTACCTCCCTGGTTATGAATGCGCATGCAGAACTAGTCAAGCTTACCCCTGGCATTTCACAGAGTATAATCTCTAGGAATGCTGATTGCCTGTAATTAAATAAACAATCTCCTACAGATATTAGAAGCTTCTGAACTGGCTGCGCACTGTGGCTGGGAAGAGTCACTTTGGGGGAAATACACGAGCAAGGGAATTAAAAAAAAAAAAAAAAATCAAAATTAAACCAAATGGGAGAAGACAGACTGTGGTGTTATTCAACGTCAAATCTGAGCCCTTGGAACTGAGTGAACTTATCCAAGACTTATTAGGATCAAACTCAGTTCAAGCGCATAACTTTTGAGAGCAACCTGATTTGGACAACCAAGAGAGAAGCCTCTCACATTTCATGCATGCATAAAGGATCCTTGTTGAATCTAGCTGTTCCCAAAAGATGGGTGCGTCAGCCTTTCAGAGAAGCCGTCCTTCATTCCATGAGTTGGCCACTTGGTCTACGGAATCTTTTATTCAGGAGGCAACTTCATGCTCTGACATGATCCATGCATGCCTGCCTATGTCGCAAGCCACGGTCAGCACATGTTCACTGTATTCCAAGCAAAGGTGCGGCAGTACAAATGCTAAACAACAGTGTTCTACTTACTGAGATCTCATAAGCGGCAAACTTACAGACATTCTAATGAATTGCAAACAAAAGAACAAAATTAGGCGAAAACCGAAGATGGGATATAAACCTACATTGGCTAGGTAACTTAATAAACGCAAACTGAACACTGGGCCCATTAAACCTCATGTCCTGATCGGAGGGAAGCAGAATGGGATTGTGTATTTTATGGAGTTCACACCTTTTTGTGCTTACGAAGGGCAATTCATGGAAGAACACAACATATAAGCCTGTTTTTTCCCGTGGCAGTCTGCTAAAGTAAGGCTGATTAAGCCGAAGTGAATTTTGGGTTACTAATTTCTGCCTGGACAAGATGTTCTGAAGCAAAAACTCAAGAAATTCCCTCCAGCGTTACACGAAAAGAGCTGTTTTTGTGGTTTAGGGGCTAAGTCATGTCCGACTCTTCACGACCCATAGCCCGCCAGGCTATGTTGCTGTTCTCCAATATCTCCCGGAGTTGAATCAAATTCATATTCCTCGCATTGGAGACATGATCTAAGCAACAAGGAAAGAGTCAGGGGATCCGTTTTCAATGAAGCTGCGAGATAAAAGCTAACCAAGATAATCACGCCTAATAAGGATTTCGCTTGTTAACTCCACCGATTTTTAAAAATGCTAAAAAAAGGGAAGAAGAGCTCTCCAAAGTACTGAAAACTGCAGCTGCACTACTTAGAATCAAACCATTATAAAATTAGTGAATGCAAGAGTCAGAAGGGACTAGAGAGATCATCTTAACCGATTCCCTGCTCAGTGCAAGAATCCTTCCTTGATGAAATCTCCAGCATTATTTAAACACCTACTAGTATTTCAAAACTCTAGCAGGGAAGAGTTCCTTCCTGCTCTAGGCAGATTTAGGGTTTAATTCCCTAACCATTTTTTTTTTTTCTATTAGGAAATTTCTTGGAATCGTCATCGGTCACCCCTGTAAGGTAGACCAGATTGAGAAACCAACTCCACAGGAAGGCTAGAACTGTATTTACTGAGATAGGCCAGTGCGTCTCAATTTCGGCAGCTTTAAGAAGTGGCTGGGGGGGGGGGGATTCTGGGAGCTGAAGTCCACGCGTCTTAAAAGTTACCATACCTGAGAAATACTATGACAGGGTATAGAATAATATACAGAATATTGCCACTCGGTTTCTTTTTCCTTTCCTCCCTCTTATAACCAGCTCTGGGCAGCTGTCAATCAAAAGTTAAAAGAGCAGAAAAGCCGTATCAAAACTATAAAACTAGACACATTAAAAACAACAAAGACCTGGAGCCAAGGCAACCTTCCGATCTTCAGAGTTCTATGGAAGGCTAGCCGGGTGGAGGCCTGCTGGGTTTCAGGGGGCAGGGCCTTCCGGGGGCCGCTACGGAAGAGGCTAGCTAGCTCCCCATCAGGTAGCAGTATTTAGGGGGTGTCCTTAGGGAAAGGAAGCCCTGTAGATCGGGCCTTGTTGCCACCTATTTCAAGCCTCGTATTTGAATCTCCTTTCTCAAAATCTCAAGCCACCAATCCTCGTCTTGCCCAATTGCCACGGAGAACTGCTAGCACCTCTGAGGGGTCCTCTGAGCTTGGTGGTTTCCTGGCAGACGCTCCATTACTCAAACTAGAGTGAAATCATCAGTGCTCTGACGGCGTCATCCAGTTTGGGTAACAAAATGCCTTGCAAGAAAACCACCAAGCTCCAGAGAGCACCCAGGATCCCTCATTTCAACACCGGACTACAAATATTCTCCTTTATTAGTGCCACCTCTCTCCTTTTTTAAAAAATTGGGTTTTAACAATTAAACAATTCTTATTCGACTCTTGTGCATGACTGTGACCATTTACATATCATCACACTAATGTTCTCCTATACTCTTTATAATTTTACAAAATCTACTATCTGTTATTTCCCTTTTTTTCTGTCTTCAATCCAATTATACCATTTCTCCCATATTACGTAAAAGTCCGAATCCATCTGTCCTTTTCAGTTCCAATGTCATTTTATCCATCTCAGCGCAATCTAATATCTTTCTAATTATTAAATCTTCAGAGGGTATGTTTGAACTTCTCCAACATTGCGCAAATGCCAATCTTGCCGCCGTTGTCATATGTAGAATAATATATGTTGTTGTTTTTTCATATTTCTTTTTCATTATTCCTAGAAGAAACAATTCTGGTGTATATGCTATCTGGAAGCCTGTTACTTCCTGTATCCAACTATGTATTTTCATCCAATATTTTTTTGTTTCGGAGCATAGCCACCATGTGTGAAAGAAGGTACCTTGCTTTTGTCCACATTTCCAACAATTTGGGGTTTAAATTTAGATATATTTTTGCCAGTCTAGAGGGTGCCAAGTACCAACGGTAAAACATTTTAAATGGATTTTCTTTATATTTTGCCGATCTGGTTAATTTATAATTTTTGTTCGAAATTATTTCCCAATCGTCTAGTTCGATATTATGTCCAATATTCCTAGCCCAGCCTATCATAGCTCCTTTTACTATGTCTTCAGCTCTGTCAAATTCTACTAAATAATTATAAATTTTGGTTCCACCTCTCTCCTTGTAACCAACTATCACAGCTCTCCCCAGTCTTTCCCTGACAAGCAAATAATTGGCTGCATTTGCACGAGAGCTAAAATGATCGTCACTGTGTAAATCCTGGTGGTTTAATGGAGGGGTCCAAGATGATGTGGGAACCCAGCCACTTATCTTTGTTATTTTTTGCAAACGAGGCCACATTACACCAGTTTATGGCTTGCTTTCGGCTCGTCATGTTATAGGCACACTGCCGTATATGGTTTGTGAACCGAGGTTAGGGAATTTGGTGTGTTGCACAACCGGAGCTCTTGAACTGCTGCTGCCTTCTGCTGTAGTTGCCCGAGGTTTCTCATCGCAGTCATTCCCAGGCAATATTAAGAGTATAAATTCATTTAATATTACATAACGATCTGAGACGGTAGGCATGCCTACTCATGAGGCATTCCAAGCGCTCGCTCTCGCATAGCCGAGCAATAACTCACTTTCATGTCAGCCACAGTTGCATTCTTTATTTAGAATGCTGTCAATTGCTAAACAAACAACATTTTTGTTCCTCTGAGTTCTTTGGGAGGTTAATTTTGCAACTGATTCGCTGCACATCAAAGGCAAGAATCAGCTAAAATGAAAACGAACTCACAGCTGCAAAGGAAAGAAAGAGGTGTGGGGGGGGGGGGAACCAATCCAGCCAAGTCTGAACAGGGGATATCTTTCTGTTTAATTACAGAATTCTACTTTATGGACTAGCATAAGCCCTACTCCCTTCCCCCCCAAAAAAGGGGGAGAGGAAGATTACAGCTAAGTTTGGGTTATGGCTAATCATGTGAAGACAGGCCATGGAAGGTGGGGTGTAGAGATAAACCTGCCAAAACCTGGCTTAAATTTGGTGTAGTGGTTAAGAAACCAGGAGACTGGGAGTTCTAGTCCTGCCTTAGGCATGAAAGTCAGGTGGGTGACTTCTCTTTCAGCCCAGCCCATCTCACAGTTATTGTCAGGGATGGGATTCAGCCGGTTCGGACAAACCAGATGTTAATTTTAATCCGGTTTGCCAAACCGGTTGTTGCAAGGACTGGCTGACCCCACCCCTCCCCACCCAGGACTCTCCATGCAGCTGTTTTGGATGCCAGATGGTATCCAAAATGGTAAGTGCAGGGGCTGCGCGGAGGCACTGGAAGGGTGAAAAATGGGCCTACTGGAAGTCCAGAAACGGGTGCGTTCCCAGTCTCTGGAGGAACGCCTCTGGAGCCTGGGGAGGGCGAAAAACAGGCCTACCAGAAGTACCGGAAGTCCAAAAACGGGCCCGTTTCCAGCCTTTGAAGGGCATCCGGAGTCTGGGGAGGGCAAAAATGCCCCCCCCCCGAATTCAGCAGGAAGCTGAATAGGCCACACCCACCATGGCCACGCCCACCCAGCAACCAGGCAGAGAACCGGTTGCTAAAATTTCTGAATCCCACCCCTGGTTATTGTTGTAGATATAAGTAGGAGGTGGAAGAAGTATGAGATATTTTCTCCGCCTTATTTATAAAAAATAATAAAAAACAGGATTTAAAAAATCTAAAATAAAAATCTAAAATGAATGAATGCAATTATTTTGTTTCAGCAGATCAAAGGCTCCAAGCATGGCAGCTGAGGCTACCAAAAATCCCTACAAAGCTCTGTCTGGCATCTGCCAGGACCCCGGCCCTGCTTGAAACGTCCCCCCCCCCACTTTTTTTAAAAAAAGAAAGTCTAATTTGAAACAGGTTAATAAAATGGCTGTCAGACCTGCTACAAAGAACCAATCTCCAACATCTGTTTTATTCACATCCATAGAATACGCATTCTGAAAAAATAAAATAAGGATATTGATGCTGTTTAGGACATTCTCTGGGAACAGGCCAAGCAGCACAAAAATGACACATCAGCTGGGGGTGCTGCAGGTGAGGAGGGAAGAGGAGGGCTCTAAGTAGGATCCTGACTGGCTCAAGGTGGACTCAGCCTCCCGTCCTTCCCAGGTGGGTAAAATGAGGACCCAGATTATTGGGGGACAAGAGGCTGACTCTGTAAACCGCTTAGAGAGGGCCGGAAAGCACTGTGAAGCGGCATATACGTCTAAGGGCTATTGCTATAAAGGAAGATAGATTCTCCACGTTTTGTACCCTTCCTGAGATTTTTCAGCATTGCACGGCAGAACTTCACAGCCTGCTTACAATATTCCAACGGCTCTAATAACAAAGTTGGAGAATTGGTATGCGTCAAGGCCTGGGCCGAGTTACCAATCAGGATAAATTCTAATTCCACTATATTTCTTCTCCCTGTCATTGCTTTGAGATGACTCAGAGCTTCGTGATGGGAGAGGAAGAAGAACAAACTCTTGCGGCTGCGCAGCTGCAAGGATGAGAGGTGTTCTAACTTGCCAGCTGATGAGGAAACTCACAAGTTCCCGCAGCAGAATATGCAGGAGGATTAAAATAATAAAGTACGGCAATGATGCTCTCCTTGCTGTCAATCACCTGTTTTGAACAAGAACCCGTGAGATCGCTTTAAAATTCCACACGCCTCTCTGCACTGGCGCCCACAACCAGGCGGCACGAGAGTTGACGGGCAAGGAATTGAAATGCCACCAATGAGCGATGTCACCCAAAATATTACACCACGCTGGCTTTTCAGATATTTTCGGTTTCGAACTGAAGCCCCACCGGTGCAGTTCCTGCTTCCCTCACCACTAAATTTCCACTTCAGAAAAGAGACAACTTACGTTCACCACGGATTCCTTAAATTTGATGTGAAGCCTGTAGTTGGACAGGGCAATGACGGCATCGTCCGCTCGGCCGACATACTCCGTGCTCTCCCCGTGAAGTTCGAGAAATGGGACCTGCAGAGACAGCAGAAAGATTCATTTTCTTTACAGGTGGCATCTACTTCAGAAATGCACACCCCTTGAAAGAACACACGATTGGCGAAGGAAGACCAATATACGTTTCCCAGGATAATGATGCAAGATCAAATTTGGGTCGGTCGCCGGGACGAGAGATTTACTCTTTCAAGGTTTCGGACTCATGCTGGAGGCTTCAGCTTCAGGGAATTTCTCTCTACTGGAATAGGTGATTTGGACTGTTCTGGGAGTTGTGTTTATGTGGTGCCTTCCTATTGGCCGATTGGTGAGTTGAGGGCTGGCGATCGGCTGTCGTTTCCTTGTTCCGCCAAGCCCTCGGCTCCAAAGTATCTGATAACCTATTGGTAATTCAGCCCCCCCCCCGCCCGTTAACTGACAAAGGAACCGTTTCCCAGGCTTCAATCATTTCCCTGGCTGTTTTTGTACCTGCTCAGCCAACAATCTTAGTAAGGTGCGAAATTGAAAGTGTGTCCTTGTTCATGGCAATGGGAGGCTACCAATGAGTTTGGGTCTCCTTGTCTGACCGCTCGCTTGTATTCTCGCAAGCTCGGAAGACAAAACCTTTGGTCTCGGTGCCCCACCCAGATTGGATCCTGCAACATTATCCTGGGACACGTATCTTCGCCTTCATTCGTGACGTTCAGTGACCTGATGGTGGAAGGGCCTGACCGTCGGATCTTTGAATCCCGGTTGTAAGTCCTCTGTTTTTCAGGCGTAGCCTTGAATGTCGCTAAGGAACCAGTGCTAAGTCAAGGATTGTCTATACCTAGAATTTTTGCAACCAAACTCACCGCTTCAATCCAAAACATTTATCTTCTAGGTTGAAAGCAAACCAAGCACCTCAAAAGTTCTGCTGTCTGATCTAGACCTCAATCCCACAGCCCCTGGATCCCACTGCAAGATCAAAGGAGAATCAAGTGAAGACCTGGAGATTTTCATCCTCCCGGATCAGCTGCTTCCTGGGGAAGATCTGATTAGCTTGGATGCATTCAAGGCTGTGATGAGTCTCTTCATCCTGAGAAGGATTTAAGTTTAGAAGTCAAGCCGACGATTCTGTTCATGTCAATACACTCGTACATGCTAGTCACATTTTTTTCTCCTAACTGAATGATCACGAAGAGTCATTCTTAGTCACCACATTCTGAAACTCTCTTCCTCTAACAAACCTTTTAGTGCATAGAACATAAAATATTAAGGTTAGAAGGAACTTTGGAGGTCTTCTAGTCCAATCTTCTGCTCAAGCAGGAGATTCTATACCATTCCAGACAAATGATTGTCCTAAAAACCTCCAGGGATCGAGAAAGGCTGGCTGAAGAATTCTGGGAGGTCTTAAAAGTTGCCTAGGTTGGACACCCCTGCTCTAAAATCTTCTACACTCATTCACAGGTTAAGCCTTAGCATGAGATACCCAACTAGTGGTGGTTTCCTCAACAAGCAATGGTTGAACCACAAACTTAGTGTAATATGTGAACCCAGTCAAGTCCACTGTTTTAGCTGCACTAATGATGTAATTTATTTTTCTACCAGAAATTCTGGAAGCATCTCTCGTTGTACTGAACACCTGTTGTTGCTTTTCTCTGTCCATTGGAAACAAGGGTTCGGAAGCACACAGAACTGTCATTCTGTCTGTCCAGGTAAAATAAAAAAAGAGGGGAAGCAGCTTCATTTGGATGAGGCTTCCAGGGATAGCAATGATTTAACTTAAATCCTCAACTCGCTTCTTTCATTAGAACCTGAATTTCTATATGATGTCCTCAACAGAACTGAGTGAAGCGAACGGTCTTCTGAAGGAGTTATAACCCTTTAGCATAGTTTCTCCACCGTAGCAATTTGAAACTGGGTAGATTTCAACTCCCAGAATTCCCCAGCCAGCAAAACCGGCTGGGGAATCCTGGGAGTTGAAATCCACCCAGCTTCAAGTTTACCAAAGTTGAGAAATAGTGGTTTATCACAATCAAACTTTGTAAGAGTGCTGTAAACACCTAAGGGTTGCCATCTTTAGCATTCCTTTCTTTTCTTCAGCTCTCTTTTCTTTTGCTCAAGCTTGAAGGATCTGTGCACGTACCATGACAGAGCCTAGCTGCAAGGCAAGGTCCTCACCCTTGCTTTCCAGTTCTGCAGCGCTATATATCATGGAAAGATCTGGAAGACAAAATTAGAAAGTGGATGCGAGAGCAGTGCATTTATTATTTGCAAATAAATATTACAATATCGGAAATATTAGAGTCACCCCACAGACCAAAAGGATGTATGTAGAATTCTACATGATAAAATTTAGGAAGAGGCATTACTAATTGCATTATGTTTTGCTTAAAATATTCACAGACTACATTTCAACTCAAAAGTGGCTATGTATAACAAAAGGCGTAAAACATTCTTAAAATTAACCTATAATCTAAATAAAAATGTCAAAATTCTAAAAGACACTAGGGTTCAAATTTGAATCTGACTCAATGAACCTGTTCTGAAAAAAATGACTTGCATAATACCTTTAATCATGATAATATAATCAACCACAAATCTGACTTGTTTCTCAACTGTTTCCTCTGCTACAAATTAATTCCTTTTTAAACCTTTCTGGTGTTCAAATGCCATGCAATTTAGGAGTCTGCTGTTCAAAGACTAAAACTAAAAAGAAAATGCATTTCATTTGCTGGGCACACCTAAAACAGCTCCTTGCATTCTGGCCAATTCATTTCCTAATTAAATCCAGCTACCGTAATGTTCAATTCAATTTTAATGTTGCTGATACTTCAATTCTAAGGTGGGTGTAGAGATCCAGTGACGTCTAGTACTGCTGAATCTTAACTACAAGTCAGCAAAGCCACAACTGGGAATCATGGATACTGTTGTTCAATATGGCATCGGAAAGCAAAGTCAACCCTAAGCCAATCATTTTACAGGTTGGTCATCAGTTACATATTTCAAGCTTAAGAAATGTTCTTAAGATTCCAGTAAAAGGATTAGTTCCAATAACATTCCTTTTTTTTTTTTTTTTTTTTTTTGAAGTTTCTGGTCTTATTTCCTGAAGATGGTAAACTGTAAAAAGTAGCTTGTTGGATTTTGGGTTAGTGCCCCATGTGGATCCGCCACAGCCATTTGCAAATCACGTTTTTGTAGGTCATGTTAACTTATCCAACTGCAGGTTATTAAACAAAACATGGCTTTGTATGATACGCGAACCACTTTTTGAGAAGCTGAGCATTCAGTGAATAAGTCCTAGAGAAGATATTCCGATATCGATAGAGTCCCAAATGCAAGGAAAATAGGGTTTTAAAAACCAGGGAAAGTTAAGTATCTATTACAGCCATTTCTGCTATGGTTCTGGCTAGGACAAGGGAAAGAATGACAGAAGTGCAAAGCCAATCTTCCCCCAGTGACATTCTAAGTTGCATCACAAATACAATGACCACAACTATCAGCATCTTGGACTGTCCTGGCTAACTAGGCATGAAAGCCAGCTGGGCGACTTTGGGCCAATCACCAGGAGACTGTGAGTTCTAGTCTTGCCTTAGACATGAAGGCCATTCCCACCCTCCCTCTCAGCCCAGCTCGCCTCACAGGGTTGTTCTTGTAGGAAAACAGGAGGAGGGAGGAGTATAAAAATAATAAAGGCAGGATAAAAAATTCAAGACAAGGGAGAACTTCAGGTGGGTGCTGACTAAGAGGCAGGATGGAAGGAGAGAGAGAGAGAGAGAGATTGATATGCATAGTCTATATGGATCTTTCCTAATTAGGGACTTAATGAAATGAAGGCTGCACACAAAACTGGTTTGGTTAAAGAGCAAAAGAAAAAACTGGTCCAGATTGTGGCTTTCCTGATCACACAATTTGTGGATAAGTAAGTGCTGGGAGAAAAGGAGGATGTATGAAATCTACATATAGCAGCAAAGAAAATATGATGGCCATGACGCAGCCTTCCATCCTTCCGAGATCTGTAAAATCTGTAAGGCACCGTGAAGCGGTATAGAAGTCGAAGTGCTATTGCTATCTACCATCGAATCATTCGGCACAAATATTTGAAAGGTTAAAGAAAATAATTATAAAAAAAAGTATTGTGCCCTCTCAAGCACATTTCCGCTATAGTCTACAGGCAGAATCAAACAATTAAAAATAAATAAATACCTAGAAAGTTAAACAAGATAAGCGACTGGCTACAAAATGATGCAAAATAATTAGATTAAAAAAAAAAAACCCGCAATTCTGGAAAAAGATAATTTTGCTGGGCATTAAGGATCTCTAAACTTACCGATTAACAATAAACCCCTTTGATAAATTTCAGGTGCGATTCACGATTGTCAGGTATTTCACAGTGAAAGCTGAAAGGACAAAAGAGTATTCTGTAATTAAACTGCAAAATGATTGCTTGTGAATAAGTTTCATCCTAAAACAACATTTAAGCAGCAAAATGAAAGGACTACTTCTAACTTATTCTCCTAATCTTGGTCAATAATACAGGTAATCCTCATCTTACAACCATTAACTGCGGTTCAAAGTTACAACGGCACTGAAAAGAAGTGACTTATGACCAGTTCTTGCACTTATGACTGTTGCGGCAGCCCCGTAGTGACAGCATTCGAAGTTCAGGTTCTTGGCATTGGCATGTATTTACAACAGTTGCAGCATCCCAGGGTCGTGGGAATTCTCATTTGCAACCATCCTTGGGCGCTTCTGACAAGCGGTTAATGAGGGGGAAGCCAGGGCTGGTATCTAAATCAAACCAGGATCTCCTGGTTTGTTGCGCCCCAACAAGCTAAGATCTCTGGGTCAGACAATGCCCTGAGATCCTCATTTCTTGACTGAAATGTTCTTGCTATGTGCCAAGCGGTTACAAATGAGCCAAGTCCAAGAAATGTTAAGTTGGCAAACTTTCAAATATTAGCTCTGAATCCAGTGATCTCAGATAATGCAGAAACCAATCCAGAACAATTAAAGCGTTCAACTCAAAATTAAACATCCTAAAAACGTGAGGGTTTTTTCCTTCCTTTTTTTTGCTAAAAACAAGAAAGGGAGACCAGACACGGTCTAGGACAGAGACAAGGTCAGGAGGCAATGCTTACATTCCCGTCAAATCTTTCCTGGGAGCCTGCCAATACGTTTTCTGGCTTTTACAAGTCAACCCTAACCTACATCTCTCCCTTACAAAATCCAATTTCCTCCTCCCCCGGAAAAATGAGGATAAGCAAAAAATGAAAATAAAAACAGATAAAAGCTCCACATGGACAGGAAATGAAGGGATGGTTGCCCGACTCTGTTACGTTTAAATGACAGATTATCGCACTTGATTATTACGAGTGAATATAATAAGGATTGTGGAAGACTTTCATTTATAGAGGCATCAAATGGAAATAAGAGATGTAAAGCTATCCGTCCTAATGTCTGCTCAATGAAACGACAGGCTGGATAGTCAAATTACCTTTCCAGATCTGGTCCTTTTTATGGCGTTTCTTCTCTGCCTACCCTTCCTTTCCAGATTTGGAAACCAGCCTTTGCAGATATGATCTGCTTACAGATAACAAACAGGGATTCCAGCTTCCCTTTTAAAAATGCCAGCTCCAGGCCGGCCGATCTGGCCAAAAGCAGCCCGGCACGCTGGCTTTACTTCTGAGTAAACAAACCCGGAGTAGCAGATCAAGCCGGCCTCAACCTCTTAGGCTGTATCTCAAGCAAACAGAAGCATGTGATAACACAAGTTAAAACATGTGCCCTCCTGCTCTGGTTCTGATAAGGGTTTTTTTTGGCCTATTAATAAACATCCGGGACACAGGCATTCAAATTTATGTCTCAGTTCTTGAGGAACAGAAATGCAGAAATCATAAAAATGAGAAGGGGCTAGCCTGAACTAGTGTGCATGTATACATATATACCGTGTTTCCCCCCAAAATAAGACCCTGTCTTATATTTTTTTTTGAACCCCGAAATAAGCGTTTGGCCTTATTTTCAGGGAGGTCTTATTATTTTCAGGGAAACAGGGTAGTAACAGCAATAGCCCTTATAGACTTATATACCGCTTCACAGTGTTTTATAGCCCCTCTCTAAGCGGTTTACAGAGTCAGCCTCTTGCCCCCCCAATAATCTGGGTCCCCATTTTACCCACCTCGGAAGGACAGAAGGCTGAGTCAACTTTGAGCCTGGTGGGATTTGAACTGCCCAAATTGCAGGCAGCCGGCAGTCAGCAGAAGTAGCCTGCAGTACTGCACTCTAACCACTGCGCCACCCTGGCTCATATACACGTATACATATAGCGGATTATACATCATACATGTATAATCCACTAAAACCTGGTCTAAAGCAGTAAATTCTCATCATCTTCTCCTTTCCTCTTCCAAATCCTAGTGTATCTTATACAAATAGTCCTTGACTTACGACAGTTCATTTAGTGACTGGTCAAAGTTACACCACCACTGAAAAAAAAGGGACTTATGAGCATTCTACACACTTACAACTGTTGTAGCAGCCCCATGGTCATGTGATTTACAGTCGGACGCTTGATAACCGACTCCTGCTTACGACGGTCACAGTGTCCAGTGGGTCACATGATCCACTTTTGCGACTGTCTGACCAGCCAAGTCCACGGGGAAGCCAGGCTCACTTCACAACCGGGGTGTGACTAATTTAACAGCCGCGGTGATTCACTTGACAAACGTGGCAAGAAAAGTCGCAAAATAGGGTAAAAACTCACTCCACAAATTTCTCGCTTAGCGACATAAATGTTGGGCTCAAAATTGGGGTCGTTAAGTTGAGGACTACCTGTAAACAACCCGCTTCAACTCCGCTGATGTTACCTAGCCAGGTAAGGAAAAATTCGGAAACCAACCCACAAGCTCGGAGAATAAACCTTCATTCTCATCCTATACTTGAGCTACAGATATTCGCCGCCATTAAAACCAGTTATTTCGTGATCGTTTGACATTACGACAGTGATGACAAAAGTGGCGCATTTTAAACAATGACAACTGTTGCAGCTGTGCTCCTGGTCACATGATCGAAGTTTGCACGCTTGGCAACTGGCATGTACTTATGACGGTTGCGGTGTTCCCCCTTTTGTGAATTTCTGATAAGCGAAGTCCAATCGGGAAGCTGGATTCACTTAACAACCGTGTTACTGACTTAACTGCAGTGATTCGCTTAATGACTGTGGCAAGAAAGCCGTGAAACAGAGCAAAACTCACGTAATGGCTGTCTTGCTTAGCGATGGAAATTATGGGCTTCATTGTGGTCGTAATTCGAGGACATACTACCTGTATGGAAATGGGTTTCTCTTGTCGTCTTCTGAGATGTTTCTTCCCCATTTCCAATTTTAACTGCAATGATGGGATTTCTGGGGAAATCGCCCAGTGTACACACACACACACACACACACAAAATTCTGGTCCTATTTAGCTTTGTTGAGATCAGTCGAGTCAACTTTGTGTTGCTTCTCAGGGAGAACTTAACCCCATTGTGAAAAAACCGATATTCCTAAAATGCCATTAAACAGAGAGGTACGTAAAGATATTTCAGCAATCTCTTTTCCCATCCATGGCCGTAGCCTTCAGGACCACACAAAGTCCAAAGAACAGATTTCTCAGATTACAATCAAAGTAGCAGACAATGTTTTTGTTTGAAGAACCCTCTAATTTCAAAAATAGAAACTCTGCGATAAAGTCAATAAATCTGATAGAGCTCCCCAAAAAAAAAAGCCATTCGTACTTGAACGAAGAGAAACGCTTTAACTCTAAAAGTTTATCGTTTGTTCCTCAAGGCTGACTTGAGAAACATTTAGCTGCTGTCTCACTTAGCAACCAAAATTTTGGACTCAGAAGTTGAGGATTACCTGTTACCTTTATTCATGTATTTAAAGGGCTTTATGATAGCGTTGCAAACTGCCCAGAGTCACTTAGGTGAGATAGCTGACATAGAAATTAAATAAACAAACACACAAATACGATAATGCAGGAATTTGGGAATACATGCAAAGCTTCCACTGGTAACTTTTCCTTTCCTTGTCGCACAATATTTAATTATCTTCTTTTTTAAGTGAACCCATATTATCCATATTATTAAAAGCGCTACTGATATGTTTGCCTGCAAGTGCTCCAAAATGCACACTTGTCACCACACAATTAAGGGCAGCTCCTCTTTTGAGGAAGAAAACACAGGCAAATATTATTGCCCTGGTTTCTATCAACAGGAAAGGGATTCCACCCGTTCTCCAGCAATTTCCCAAACGAAAACCTTGAAGAGGTACACCAGCTATTTTCACTTTGCCCTCTGTAATTTCCAGCCTTCAGATCAAACACTGGGCGCAAGTGAGCAGCAATTTAATGGGTTAAGAGGGCTCTACCCAAAACTGAGGATGGCGTCACTTCTCAAGTTCCATTAGGAAGAAAATACAATGCCTGGTGCTGTACAATAAAGTAAACACCAAGGTAAAATAAGCCTTTCCCTTCTAAACTTGGGTATTTTATAACGCCCTAAAATTATGCCAGGTGGGCTCTTTAGGACAAATGTAGAGCTTTAATCCACCTCAGAAGGATGGGCATGGGAATTTAAAGGGCCATACTCTGATCTGAGTAAATTTAACGGGTAAAGTTAAAAGTAAAATCTCTGAGTTGAATTCATTATCCTAGGGGCCAAATGGTCATGCTATCTATTCCATTCATTCATTCATTGCCTCCCATCTCCCCTGGAGGCAATTCTAGCTGGCTTACAATCAATAAAACTGTTTTTTTTTTCTTTTAAATTGTTCCAACTTCTACCCTCAAAAAGACGCTATAGGCACTGCACACCAGAACAAGTAGACACAAGGACAGTTTTTCCCCGAATGCCATCACTCTGCTTAACAACTAATTCCCACAACACTGTCAAATAATTTACTAAGAATGTATTACTCTTCTTCTTTTCCTTACTAGTATCTCTCTCTTCCCACTTATGACTATAACCATGTCACTTGTATCTTTCAATTTATATTGTTTTATTTGTTTCCTACTACGATTTGATAGCTTATTAGTAACCTTGACTATCACTAAGTGTTGTATCTTTTTATTCTCGATGAATGTATTTTATTCTCCTTATGTACACTGAAAGCATAGGCATCAAAGACAAATTCCTTGTGTGTCCAATCACACTTGGCCAATAAAGAATTCTTTCTATTCTATTTAACCCCTTTATTCTAGGTGGAGTCTGGCCAGCTAAATGGAAACCAATACATGACATTAGAACAATAAATAACAAGAAATTTGGGGTTAAAATTCATCAAGAGGGGGAAGAAGGGAGCAAGATGAATGGGGCAAGTGGTGGGGGGAGAGATGGAATGTTTCCTTGGTTCATGAACCCC